GCAACCTATTTTGATCAAATTACGGTCGGTGAACTTTCAAAAGTCAACGGGACACGAGGGTTCCAATAAAAAAGCTAGTGATAACGTACGCCGGGGTGGATGTGCTTTTCGTTTAGACAAAAAAAATGAATTTTTAACGATTTTTTTTTTCAGGTAAAATTCCATAGGCTAACATGTTAGGCTGCTGACTCTGACGATCGGGGGCGTTGTCAAATGAGACTAAACGGAGCTATATGAGACAAAAAAATTAATGACATAAAACGACACCTCGTTGCCTGAATAGGACGATATTCGGGCACATCCCTGCCGTTTCAATCAAATATATGGGAACTCTAAAAGGCCTCCATTTTATTACAATATGGCAGTAAAGAAGTAATACAGAAGAATATATAAGCATGCTTATTACTGCTTTGGCGAGCAGTTGTTTTTAATCACTGTACATTAAGAACGATCGTAAAATAGTGATCTATGTCTGTTAATAAATTATATGTTTAAGGAAAAAGTATCTATAGATAGGTGGTCTTTCTATGTCAAATCCTTGATTTAATTTAATGGACCTATAAAGTGTGATTTATAAGTATATTGTGTCATGAAAATTGTTCAATAATAAGTATATTTTATAGTATAACTTGCCTGTTTTATCAACCATAAAATTATGTGCACCTTTGGAATCAATCAATAATATTAAAACTTGAAGTGATATATTACTGGGGTGCCAGTTAGAATTGATCAGAGGGCCTGAAAAAACACCTAGAATGAGCTATTTTGTATACAAAAAAGCCTAAATGATGGTGTGAAAATAACTCGCCATGGCCTGAAGTGAGGCTATTGCCTGAAAACTGGCATCCCTGTATATTAGCCTCACAAACATGCAATACAAATAATGACAGCATTGGGTTTTTGAGGGGAGTTCCTGAAGATTCGTTAAAGGGTGCTTTATCCAACTTTACTAGCATGTTTCTCTGGACGAAACCATTGATATAACACCCAAAAACAATATCGTGTACAGCTTCAAGGAAGGAAATTGAAATTCATTATAATGTTGAGAGATAAGCCCCGATAAACGTCTCTGTCAGTTGACCAATCCGCCATTTTGGAATCAACACAATATACATCTAGTTAACTCAGTTTCAAACATTGACAACTTTTTAAAATGTTTTATCATGGTCTAATTTCTTTCATCGACTTATTTCTCAGAATCTTTAATTTTTGTATTTCTATCTTTCTTTCATACTTTAATTTATCCACCACTCAATTTGTTACAAAGGTCGATTTTATTTATTATTTATATATTACATATTTTATTCATATATATTTATACAGGTACACAAAATCAGAAATAAATATGTTTTGCATCTTGGACCTGGTATTAAAAATATCATATAAAAAGTAGTAAAAATAACAAAGTATAAGAAAGTAACATACACAATACATCATAGTAATACAAATATGGTAGCATAATAATTCAAGGCCTTAACAAAAAATGATTCTAAATATAAATGAAGGCTACATATAAAAATATCAACATAAAATAGTCACATAAAAGAATGCAAATGTAAGGTTCAGCTTAGAGGTTGAGGTAATTTCAATGGATTCGATTTTAATATTTTCATATTGTACAACAATTTGAAAATTTCCAGAGACTGAGCATTTTGCGAGTCATTGGGTAATAGATGCCATACTTTAGCACCGGCATATTTTCAAGGCTAACAATAAAGTTGAATGTTTGGTTTAGGCGGCACAACATTGTGGAAATTAGCATTACGCGTATTCAGTCTATGTCTATTGAAATACATTTCAATCTCATTGCATAAACGGGATGGGGAAATATCAAGAACACATCGGTACATCAGTGTAGATAGAAAATAATCAAGTCGATCCTCAATTATTTGCCACGATAGATTTTTCATCTCGAAAGGCTAGACGTATAACACTCCAAAAAAGTGTCTGATAAGCCCCCGAAAATTATATTGAATATCTTTATCTAACGAGGTACATGTCACTGTCATAAAGGTCAGCAAACACTCAGATTATCAAGCACAAACATTATTGTAGTAAAAACATGTTTCAAAGTAAATAAAATTTAATGAAATAAAATAGATGCACTCTGTCGCTACTGTATGTACACAAAACGTGACGGTGATAAATAGTAACAAACTAGCATTGAACAAACAGTAAGGCCAATAACAAAAATGAAGTGTTTCTGGTCCCCGCCCGCCGCCTCTTTTTTTGTTATACTATTTACTATTCAGAAGAAGAAGAAAGCAAAAGAAAAATGTGTTATACAGCGTAGGTTAGGTGTAGGGAATACACCAGTTTACGGTTGTATCAGTGCGCATGCGCAGACAGTTGACCTCGGGCCAATTGAAACAAAGCCAATGCATACACCACAACATTCAGTGAATATTGTGTTTCTATATCAGAGCAAAATTTTACGATCAAAATTGATTATCTTGGTCAATTTTGCCAATTTTCTCGGAGAAAGAACGCATTGTAGTCTTCGAAATGAATTGGATATAGCATATGCAGTAGTGTTGTTAAAGGCCACAAGTGGCGCTATAAATCTCAAGTATACAGTATCAAGGAAGAAAACTGAAATTCATTTTAGTGTTGAGAGATACATCCTGCTTCACGTCCATGTCGGTTGGCCAATCCACCATTGTGAGATCAACATGATTACATCTCGTTATCTCAGTTTCAAATATTTTCTAGTTTCTTTCACAATTTTATTATTATCTACTTATTTCTCAGATTTTTCTTGTCCATCTTTCTTCCTTTATTTTTTACTTTAATTAATACACCACTCAACCTGTAACAAAGGTCAATTTTCTTTTAACTGATAGGGTGTGTAATTTAACATTTTTGTTGACTGCTGAAAAGAATTATATTTTCCCAAGGGTCTAAATTTTCACGAGGGAAAACTTCCTTGCGGTCCAAAAAGGATATATTATACACCTTACGAGTAGATAGTCTTCATCACATTGGCGGATCCAGGGGGTGGGGCCGGGGGTCCGAGGCCTCTCCTTTGGCCAAAAACGGGTAAAAACACGTTAACGTAACCTTTTCTTGTCTTTTTTTTTTAAAGGGCTCATTACCCCCCCCCCCCCCCCCCCCCCCCCCCAATGAGCAAAATATCGGCCGGAGCGATTTTCAAATGTTCGGGGAAAAAGAAAAAAGAAATTAGTGGTCACTAACCCCCTCCCCCTCTCTCTTTCTCTCATTCCGCTGAGCCCCTATCATTCAGATCGAATTATTGCCGCGGATGGCGTACTGGGAAAAAATATATATTGGTGATTTTTTTTTTACCATGACATGACTTTCATTTGATTTTTTAGATATCACCTTTTTTTTGTGCGAAGAACAATAATCGCTAAGTTATGATATTCGTTTCAAATAAAGTCCTTAAAGTAGGACATAAAGTTGCGTTTGTGATAATGTGATAAATTTTTCGAGACTTTATGAAGTCACAATCTTAATTTTGAAACTCCCCCATCTGCGGCAATATTTTGAAAGGCTCGATTGTCATTTATACCAAAAAGGCAGTCGTGATGCACTCCTCCCCCCCCCCCCCATCAGACTTTGAAACTGCTAAATTTAGGACAACCATCACCCCATATTCGGATACCGCGAGATTGTCTCTGAGAACTTACTATGTCATAAGTGCCTCATGCAATGTCATTGATACTTGAGTACTGGAATTGCTTAGGTCCTCTGTGATAACGAGGGTTGCTGGCATTCGTCTTACTCGCTACAGCACTGCGCCATCACCACCGCTTAAATGACTACTATCGGCATCATCATCCCCAACGTCATCACAACTATCAAAAACATCATCCACATCCCTTCTTCTCCTCGTCAACACCATCAGTATCATCATTAAGAAAAACATCGTCATCGTTGTCATCGTCAACATTAACTTCATCATGGCGCGATAGCTCAGTCGATAGAGCAGTGGTCTCGTAATCCAGCGACCCGGGTTCGAAACCAAGTCGATGCGTTAGTGCCCTGTGGCAAGGCATTAATCCTCATTACCAAGGTCCCTCGGAGATGACCTAAAGCCGCCAGTCTTCTGGCTGCTTACTAACAAGCATTTATGCTTTCTTAGCAGTCAGGTAAAATAACCACCACTATCTATCTATCTACCATCATCGTCGTCGTCACCAGCACCATCACCATCATCATCATCATCATCACCACCATCATCATCATCATCACCACCATCATCATCATCATCACCACCATCATCATCACCATTATCATCACCACCATCATCGTCATCATTACCACCAACACCATCATCATCGTCGTCATCACTATCAACACCATCATCACCATCATCACCATCAACACCATCATCCCCATCATCGTCATCATCCCCATCACCTTCCTCACCATCATTGTGATCACTACCAGCGCAGCCTCACCATCAAAGTTACCATCAACATCACCATCAGTTTATATATTATCATCATCACCATTATAATCGCTACCACCCTGATCATTATCAACATGGTCTTCATCGTCAGTATCATCGTATTTGCCTGGGTCTTCAATCATCATCATTATCAATATCGTCAACAGTTTCTTTATCAATTTTTACACTTTTATTCACAATCTTCTTCACGATCACGATAAATTCAACTCTTAATATGTCTTAACATCGAGAATAAATTCATGTATTTAACTATGAGCGTATTTTATTACATCGTTTCCTGGTTAAATCCTTTAATACAGTAGCCTAATGAAGGCAAAGTGTAGTTACAAGCTAGAATTCAAATTTGTTCTTAACACAACAATATTCACATACTCGATCATCCTATTATATCATAAGTCAATGCTCTTTGATCGACAATATGATGACTAAAATTAGCATAGTACAAAATAAACACTCTCAAATTATCAATCAATAAAATTTGAGAATGTATACTATATATTATCTAGATCTAATAGGACTAAATCATTGTCAAAATCACTCCATAAATTGGGGTAAAAATAATTATTCCACCATTATGACCAACAGTGTATATCAAAATTTATTATCAGGTCCTGAAACCAAAACATTTAGTTTATGTACAAAATTAAGTGAATAAAGATTTTAAATCATTTTTAATTATTCAAAGCATAATATACATGATTACCAAAACTAAACGTCATTTCCATAAACCAGAATATTGTAAGTCAATTTGGAAATATTCAGAGACCGCACCCAGAGGTGCACTGTCTTCGGTACCATACAACACGTCCTATTCCTTTTTTTCTCTGTTCTAGATACGCCACTGCTTAATACTATTTAGTTTAGTTCAAAATAAGTGTTCTCAAACTGTCATTTTGGTATTCCTCTGCACATTTTACAAAGTACTAGAATAATATATTCACAATATCACGAGTTCAGAATTTATACATCAGCCACACCGATTGTACTGACACCAGACAGAAAATAGACCGGAGAAGAGAAGAGATTAATTAATCGTAATGACCCCGAACCGGTTGGTCTGGAGTCCGTAGCGAGTTAGACCTCCGTCACACCAATGGGCCGACACCAGACCGTCAATAGAGCGAACGAGAAATGAGGTTACTTCCAGAAAGCCAACAAATACAATTTACGAAGCGCCAATAAGTATCAAGGATTTTCTTGTAAGAGATTCCAGAACAGTGCTCTTCCTAATCTCACCATCGTGAGTATGTTAAACTTTAACTATGCAGATCCAAGCTTATAATTGCCTTAACAACTGTGCAATATTATGTTATTTTTTAACAATGAGGTAATATCAATCAGTCATTTTAAATTCCGTATATATTGTACTATAATTTTACCAATAAAATTTTAAATTATGCTTGTACACATTATATTCAATTCCATTTTTCCTGATCTCATGTTGTTAGTTTATACTTGCTCTGTATTTTACCAGCACTGCGAAAGCATGTACAGTTCTATGACTGCCATTCATGTCTTTAATAAACCTTGAATGACCACGAACATGTCTGTCTGGTGTCCGTATTGAGTCGGTGTGACTTTGACCCCTGTCTCACCAATGAGACCGACACCAGACCGACAATAGACCGAACAAGAAATGTGATTAATTAACCCCAATGACCACGAACCGGTTGGTCTGGAGTCGGTATTGAGTCGGTGTGACTTTGACCACTGTCTCACCAATGAGACCGACATTAGACCGACGATAGATCGAACAAGAAATGTGATTAATTAACCCCAATGACCACGAACCTGTCGGTCTGGAGTCGGTATTGAGTCGATGTGACGTTGTGGCCCCCTGTCTCACCAATGAGACCGACATTAAACCGACGCTAGATCGAACAAGAAATGTGATTAATTAACCCCAATGACCACGAACCTGTCGGTCTGGAGTCCTCATTGAGTCGGTGAGACGTTGTGACTGGGGTATTACTTCAATTAGCATTATAATATAAAACAAGAAGGAAGGGCAATAGCGCGTGACATCATATTCGCTCGTCATCTAAGTTACTGGTTTCAAACAACAGGGCCTGCGCATGAGGTTCATCGCGATATCATTCAACCAACGGGCTGGAGCTAAGCAAATTCAGGATTGAAGCTCACGATTTTTACAACTCGGCCAGATTAACTGGTTAACTGGTTAACCTTACTGCAACGTCATCAACTGGAATAAACTTAGAGGGCAATACAAAAGGAGCAATGGAATTGACGCATTTAAAAACAATCCAAGCCAGTGTAACTTATAAAGCTCTTATTGAGAAGGGGTTTTCCATGACTTTCTAAATACAATGTATGCTGCTCTTCTGTGTAAACAGTTGATACTTAATATGTAGGGGTCTTTTGGACTATGCGTTGAAACAATATAGTTTTTCATAATATTTAGGAGAAATCCTAGGTTAGATCCTCGATGGGTGCTAACATTCTTGGATCAAGATGTTTATCCGCATTTGCCATTCACGACCCATGTGTAAATAGGTACCTGCCAATTGTTGGGGTACAAATGATTGCAGGGCCGTTAGGAAGAACAGCATAGATGCTGAAGAGGCCTCTCTGATGAAACAAACTCATTACTATTACATTATCATTAGACTATAATCAACTAAACAATTCCTCTACATCGGAATATCCGGAAGTAGCTCACACCATTACAATCGACTCGACAATTCCAAGTAGTTTCCCATTATGGTGGACATGCCCATATGTAGAGTCTGTTTGAAGTACAGAAAGCAACTCCTCCAGATGTGAAAACCTGGAGGAAATACCAATTCAACTCAGACTTCTCAATCTTGTAGTCCGACAAGAGTGTCTTTACCAGCTTTAATCTTTTGGTGAACTTTTCGATAGTGACCAACCCTTGATCATGATTGACCCATGCGATAAGAATGGAGTTGTCTTGAGTTACGGCACCGTATGGATAAGCGTTCGGTTTCTTTACTTTGTGCAGGACTTTTTGTTTCGCAACACCGTCAAAAGCAATTATTCGCGTTGAAGTGATATTGCTGATGATCATGGAGTCATCGAGACAAGTGATCTGCTTAGGTTCGAAACCATTGCACTGTATCTCCCTGATAGCAGTTCCACCTCCTAGGTTGAACGCTTGGATCTTCATTGCTTTGCAGTAGCCGACATAAATCTGATTGATACTGCTTACAGCTAGGCTCCCGACCCCGCCTTCATTGGGACACAGTGTCGCAAACCTTGCATCTGACTTCACACACTCGGGTGAGTACGTGGTGATGGTGTTGCTCACATCAAGGACAACATATCCGCCATCAGAGAGGAATCTTGCTCCACGAACCTTGACATCGCTGAGAACTGTTTGCTCGAATTGCCCATTCTCAGATACGAACTCGATCCCTCCTCCACAATACCCTACTGCCATTCGACCATCAACCGAAGAAGCCAAGAAGCTCATTCGACATGAGAGTTTCACACTACGAACCGTTTTATACTCTACACGGAAATTTCCGATGCTCAAGGGGTCTTGTTGGTCTGGTGTAAAACGGGGTGTAAAGAACAACTCCTCTGCCCGATCACCCACATCAGTAACAAGCTGGTTGTCAGGATCCTCCCGATCTACCAGACTTTGAAGCTTATCAGACAGTGAATCACGAATAGCAATGACATCTCCACTCAGAGGAGCATTCAAGCTGCTATCCAACAACTCACTCGTCTTTTTCAGACTAGCTACCAACCTTTCGTGATCACCCTTCATTTTCTGTAAACGTAGGTTCAGCGGCCCATCATGGGCATCAACCTGCTCGACTAATGCTGATTTACTATCATTCAACAGCTTGACTGATACTAGATACACGTTGGTGATCTCAACATATTTTCTGTCAATGTGATCAGTAACGCGCTTCATCTGACTCTTAATAACAGCCAGATGGGTCTCGATGGTTTTGGCTTTTGCTTTGCCTTCTGCTTGCAGTATTTGGATTTTACTCTGGAAAGAAGCTTTGTATTCTCTGGCACCTACAACAGTGTGACCTTCATTCTCGTGCAAAAGCTTGCTGGATCTCATACAGATGAGCTTTTTGCAAGTAAGGCAGACGCCAGAGCAGATATTAGGTTGTCCATCCGATGTGTCGTGCTCCTGGCAGTAAAGCTCCTTGCTGACCTTCCTCTCGAAGACAAACCTGCGCTCTTGAATATCTTTCACAAACACGACTGTATGCTTGAGGTTTGGTGGCCATTTGTTGTGATTCTCCAGACACTCGTTACACACGTTCTTCCCGCATTCCTGGCAGAAATGCACTGCCTTCGAACCCGTTTGGCACACTTCACAGTCACATAGCTGTTGGCTGTTTCTGAGATCCTCAACCAGAGCCTTCAGAGGAACATTTGCATTTAGATTCATCACATCGCCATGCTTGACATCTGTTACGCTTCGACATATCGGACACGTCAAAGAATTGACTGTTTCAGTTTGACTAGAGCATGCTAGCATATTGTCTAGACATCTTTTACAAAATGTATGCGAACATGACAACTGTTTTGGATCACTGAGTAATTCTAAACAAATAGAACACTCCAAAGTGCGTGCAATGGTCTGATTAAGTGACGCCATTACTGAACAATTTCAAAACAAGTGACAAAAACAAATCTCCCAAACAAAAGTGCATTATTCATAGTACATGTAAATAAAGAAGTTCACAAAACATTAATACAGAAGTTTTACTTTAATTCATTATCTCTTTACAAAAAAGTATACTATACATCGAATGATCTGGTAATGTGAATTATACGAGAAAAATACGACGAGAAGAGGCAAGGGGCTGGGTTCAGAATTCACACCATCTTATGTTCTATCATCAGCCTCTACATTTGATATCGTCTGGGAGTTGCTGAGAAGCGACGAGTTAAAGATAATCATCTCATTTCACTCCTCACTCCTCGTAGAAACAGATGGTTGCATGCGTCAGATCCGATCACTAAAAGAGAGAGAAAACAAGTATGATGTCAAAAAGAGAAACCATGGAAAATATAGGTCTTCCAGGCCAATTTTGAAGTGTTTTCACATTTCAGTCAGTATGATAAACCATGCATCCAATAGCCCGGTTTACTAACATAAGCAAATGTGTGGATGTTTCTTTCCTGGAGACCTAGTGACAAGTTATTCCATTAACCTTATATCAATGAATGAACTTGGAATCCAGTCTGCATACATTACTTGTTGCTATGTTAGAAAAGCCTCTAACAAGGTTATTGGGTTGTCAAGAACAACCTTTGTTAAAAAAGTTTAAATAACATTTGAATATGTTAGTAGCGGATCGGCCTGCATGTTTAGGGCAAACATCATTTTCGTCGAAGGTTGTCCTTAAAAATTGTACTTCAGCCATTCAATTTAGCGTATCGGACATTCAAGTTCATTACATGTACATCTGGCGCATGTACCGAAATTCATTCAAATTTAAGGCCCGGCCACACAAAGGGGACGCATGGGGGACGCACTGCCAGCGCATTGGAAATTTGCAATTTTTGCCAGTGCGTTGTCGTTCGCTAGGTGTGCGCCATTATTCGTTACTCGTTCGTCGAGCGCGCTGGACCAACGCTGGACCAAAGCTATGCATTCGTCGTTATTCGCTCTGTGCGTCGGTATTTTTTGAGCATGCTCAAAAGTGAATGTACACGCCAGAAGACGCCAGACATGCACGGAGCGCGCTAGACCAACGCCAGACATACGCCGAGCACACGCCCTGTAAACGCGCAGCGCGCTAGCGACACGCTATGCATTCGGTGTCAGCTCGCTAGCTTTTCCAAAATCCTGAAAAAAAATCTGGCTCGCGACTCTTTCCGATTTTCAATGCGTCGGCTGTGCATCCCCCATGCGTCCCCCTGTGTGACCTGGCCTTCAACGGCCCTAACGGAAAGATGATCTCGAGCATTTCATTTCATAACATGATCTTTCAAAATAACATACATTCATTCAATTCAATTCAATAAAGGTTTATTCAAAATGACGTTCTTGCAGCCGAAGCTGAATTGCATGGTCATTTACAAGGTAAACCACATGCTAATGGTTAAAATACAGCATTATACATGGAAACATAAAATATCGATTACATTTTTTTTTTAATATACTAAATATACGCATACGTATAATGGACAGCATCATTAAACATCATAAAGTAAACAACATGCACGCAAGTTACAAATGCAAACAGGACATGTTGTACGGTATATGTACTTTTTCCTCCGAAAATTGCATAAAAATGTAAGGATTTTAAATTATTGTCTTTCATTGACCACATCGGACGCGCTTTTAACCTAATATGGTATTTACCTTATTGCACAAATTAATAAATAAATTTTATAAAAACGGACAAAACGTAATTTGGGGTTTTATTCAGAGGTGGGGTTGAGTGCTCAAGGTAAACGTCATTCCTTGCAAATTGGAGAGGGTAGACAATGTATACCATTCCTCAGCACTACATCCTGACTTATGGATCCTGCTGAGTATCGTCGTAGAAGTAGAAGTAGTTTGAGTGAACCACAGTACAAATTAACCATCGTTTCTTTTTTAAATGACTAAATTTACCCAATTTTGTATATAATCATTTTTTTTTTGCTCAGTTTTTTTATCAGTCATGCAATAAAATTGGAGAGTATACATTTTCTTCGTTATGAACTTTAGGGGGCAAATAACAACAAAAGAAACTCATTTTAACCGATGAATTTTAATCCGCCCCTTTCTATTTACATACCGATAAATATCCCTTGATTCTATACTCACAATTTAATATAACATGTTTAATTCTAAGCGGATTTGAATAAATCCACGCTCTATGTTCTTCATTGTACACTTTAAAATCTAAAGTGCTCTTTTTACCACTAGGAGGGCTTACAACACTTTTGGGCATGGGGAGGCGGAGCGTGTTTGAAAGCGGGATGGGAGGGGGCACATTCTGAAAAGGGGCACTTCCCGCATCTGAAAGGGGCGCAAATGCACCATTATATGACTGTATGATTACATAATCAGGGATGATTTCAATATAAGATTTGTGAGATCGCAGTGCGAAAAATAAGATATTATTAAGAGGTAAAAACTGATGTCACATTCGAATCATGAAAGACTAACAAGACCTTAAAACAGAAAAATATTTGAATCAATTGTAAATAATAGCGAGCGTAGCGATTGAGCTTTAGGCAAAATATTAAAAAAAGTTGCGTTAAGTCGCTTCAAACTAGGGACACATTTTATGGTGTGGGGAAAAGAGGGCATTTCATGAAAAGGAAAAAACAGACACTTACCTTAAAAAAAGAGCACGTGTCAAAGTAAAAAGTGCAATTAACAGAGGTGAAAATAGGGCACTTCCCGCATCTGAAAGGGGGCACTTACCAGAGATGAAAAAAGTCACTAATGAGAATGGAGAAGGGGACTTATTACATAGGAGAAGGAGCACCTATCAGATGATAGGGGAATTAATCACAGGTTTAAAAAAAAGTGGGTATTCATGAGAATGGAAAGGCACTTTTATTAAAAAGAAAAGGGGCACTTATTAAAAAGTTAAACAGGTAATCCTCTCAAATTTGAATAAGGGCACTTACCAGAAATAAAAATGGGCACTTATAAGAATAAAAAAAGTGGCTTACCAAGGGAAATGTGGACTTAAAAGGGGCATCACCGAGTTTGAAAAAGGGCAATTATAAGAGGTGATTGAGCACTCATATCAGAGGTGGTAAGAGGCGCTCATCTGAGATGAATTGGAGCACGTATGAGATTGGAAGGGGCAATTATAAAAAAAAAAGCGCACTTGTAGAAGGAAAAGGGGCACCTATCATATTTAAATAGAGGCATTTATTAGAGGTGTAAGAAGGGGGAAAAGGAGAAAGTGCTCATATTATTTTTAAAGGGGCATTAATCAGAAAGAAAAAGAGCACTTATTTGTCAGAAAAGAGGGGCACGTATCAAGATAAAAGAGGGCATTTATCCTATGTGAAAGGGGGCACTTTTGAGATGCTCGAAAAAGTACTGTGACTCCGTTTGAATGCACAAATAAAATATTTGAACTATCGAATAGCATGGCCGGACTAGATTATTTTTGAGTGAATGCACGCAAAATGAATTGGATTGGTAATGTTGCGGAATTGGCCGGGAAAACCTATAACAGAAATATTTATTTCACATAAACGCAATCTTTTTTCTGTATACATGACATTTGAAAAGAGGGTTAAATGCAACTCACCAGAAACTCATGCACTGACAAAGGTCTGTTCCTCATCTAAGAACGTTTAATACCAACAGGGAAGCGTAGGTTCTAAACACTCTATAGAAATTGAACACATTGGAAGAAAACAAAAATCTGTCAAGGTCATTTTGGCGTTATAATGTATACGTTCTTCGACGGCAAAATGCTCTGTGGTCTTAACAGAATTCTAACTTCAATCCTGAACCAAAGCTAAACTTACAAAACCAGATAAAACCCAATTGCCACCCTAATCTTTACCCTATCTAAGACAAAATTAATTTTCTTCTGTAAAACATACAAATCAAATTACAATTCAACAATACAACATATGCAAAGTATAACAATTTTTTTTTAACGTATACACAATATTAAAGATAATAACTATCAAGTATAATTAATTAATACATCTGCAGAAGAAGAAGGGCTATCGAAACACCGAGTTAAAGTAATTGATTTATTTTCACCCGACTGCTCAGAAAGTAATTATTTACGTTTGTAGCTAAGCAACCAGGGAGACATACGACTTTGAGTCCTATCCGAAGGACTTGGTTATTGAGAATAATTCCTCACGATAGGGTCTCAGCGCATCAACTTGGGTTTCGAACGAAGGACCACCCAGTTAAGGTACCGCTACTCTTGGACTGGACCATCAAACTATGATTATACTGCAATAATGAATATTACTAATGATGAAATTATTAACATCTAAAAATATCCTTAAAACCAAAACTTACCCTTTACGCCGACAGGAGTTTCGAAAGTTTGGAAACCATCGCTGGCTCTCTCGAGCTGACATTAGTATGGTGTCTCGATGAAAAAGAGAAGAATTGTGAATAATAACTGACATCGGTCAGACCTGTGGGTGCAATAAAACTATCACGTGACGTTATTCCCTTGTCTTTAAAGCCCCTCCCACAAGATCGTGAAATCAACCAATCGCATAAGGCCGAGTGGATGTATTTTTTTCCATAAGCCCATGGACCCATTTTCGCGAAGGGAGCTGACACGCCTATTGCCCGAGAATCAACCATCTTACAAATACAAAAATATAAAAAAACATCCGACGCTTTAATCATGGTTTAAAATGTTTAATTCGTCATAAGAAAACATGTCAGGTAATAGGTTCTAAAAATCATTATATCCATTCACTCCGGAGCCCAAATACGAGTATATTCGGGTGGTTCGTTGCCCGGGCTCGTCCTATATACAAAATTAAAAGACTTTTTAATATGCTGTTTCATCATACAAATACTGTATTTAATACAAGATACAAGATTATGACATTCAAGCATCTCAGTGCCGAATATAAGGATATTCATGCACCTCGCTGCCCGTATAATGTATATCAAGTTCAAGTTCAAGTTAATTTTATTCAAAACCACACAAAACATTATATATTGTTTTACATAAACAAAAGAGACTGGTAATAGTACATTAACTTGATTACATCATAAAATGATTGGTGTTAGGACCCCTGTAGAAGCTTAGCTTGTGAGCAAAATACATACATTAACAATATGGCAAGGTGAATAATAAAGTATTAATGACTGCTTTGAGAGAAATAGTTGTTTTATTACGCTCAAGGGAAGGTTAGAATTGTGCTATTCCCCGAGGCTTGCCGAGGGGAATAGCCCAATTGTAACCTTCCCGAGAGCGTATGAAAACAACTATTTCTCGAATATTAAAGCAGTCATTAATACTTTTATATGCCGAAAAAAAATAGACTAAAAAATAAAAAATAAAAAATAATTTTTTTTTTGTCGAAGGTGAGAGTCGAACTCTTGCGTACTATGAGTGATGAATCTTACACCAACGCCTTACACCACTCGGCCATCGCGCGCTGTTCACGAGCTTGGCAGTTTTGTACAATATATACATTAAAGTGGATTGAAACCGGCTTCGGCGTGATGAATGCTTCGCAAAAGCACCCTTCTTTTACTTTTGCAATGCATATTGGCACGAACTTAGATCAAGATCTATCGGCAGATGTTGTTTTTTTGTTTTTGGAAGTTTATTTTCGTCTTCATGTCAACAATGCAAGATAAAATTGTCGGTAAGATCAATCGAGATTCAATTGTATTGAAATTACCGACCAATCCTTCGCACACATACGGTATCCTCGATCGCTCAAACCATTTTTTAACATGTAAACCTATGGGGTAACCATGGAGGCTGACCTATTTTTTTAATAACCATGGTTATTAAAAATATTAAATGTTTTATGCATGGTTACCGGGAATTTTACAGGAACAGTTGAAGTTTATGAATGCAATTCGACCAATCAGATGGCTGGATTTCTTAAGTGAGGTATATAAAAGAATGTTATGTATATATACAAGGGATGGAAAAAACCAGGGTACAAAATATAGAGCACAAAAATACTCACACACGCGCGCGCGCGCGCACACACACACACAGCAAACACACTGATGAGTAGGTCCTTATCTATAAGCATTTGAGAATGAGAAATGATTAAGATACAAAGTAGAACTATTTCAGTCTTCCAAGTAGGTACGTTTTAGGTAATCTTCATAACCTAGAAAGAGTTGTACTATTTTTTTATATCATCAGGCACACTGTTCCATTCTCAGAATATTCGATCATCTTGTGGTTAAAAGCCTTCCTGTTTCTAAGTTTGCGAGTGAGCGAAGCAAGTGAGCAAAGAGGAGAGTACCTTTACTTTACTGTCTTAGAAATGTCATATCGCCATTGAAATACAATAGACAAGATTTTTTTAAATGACATATTCCGACACCTTGTTGCCTGAATAGGACGATATTCGGGCACATCCCTGCCGTTTCGATTGAATATATACTCTAAAATCCTCCGTTTTATTAAAGTATGGCAGAAAGAAGTAATAAAGAACAATATATAAGCATGCTTATTACTGATTTATTACTGATTTGGCGGGTGAAAGTACAGGTTTTTTTTTAATCACTTTACATGAAGAACGATAAACAAAATATCAGTAATCCTGTCTCTGAATGTATATACATGTTACAATGGTACAGGTCTCCTAATAAATTATATGTTTAAGGGACCCCCCCCCCCCCCCCTATCGCCCAAAAGTGTCTTTAGATAGGTGGTCTTTCTATAGAAACCCCTGATTTAATTTAATGGACCTATAAAGTGTGATCTATAAGTATATTGTGTCATGATTATTGCTCAATAACTATGTTTTGTAGTATGATTTGCCTGTTATATCAACCATTATGATTATGTGCACCTTTGAAATCAATCAATATTAGTACAACTTGAAGTGGTGTATTACAGGGATGCCAGTTATAATTGATCAGAGTGCCTGAAAATCACCTAGAATGAGCTATTTTGTACACAAAAAGCTAGGAATTCTATTGCCTGAAAACTGGCATCCCTGTATATTAGCCTAACAAACATATAATACAAATAATCACGGTATTGGGTTTTAGAGGGGGGTTTCCCGAAGATTGGTTAAAGGGTGCTATCCAACCTTACTTGCATGTTTCTCTGGAGGATGAAAGCAGATTAATAGAAAAAACGAATGGTAAATATTTGAACGAATTCGATAAAACTAAAACTATATTAAAAATATTGAAGTCATGATTCGATAACATTTGAGATCCCGTTATTATGATATTTTCATATCGGAGAATTAATGTCACGTTGTTGCAATATCAGGAAACTCTGCCGTTCGTTTTGAATGCAAACGACTTAACGTATATATTTTTATTTAATTGCAAAGCAGGATATATTCTTTAGTGTTCACATGTACATGTTAGTTTTCATAAATATTTTTTTTTTTAATTAAGAGTATTATTATTTAAATGAACCTGTTTGGTTTGTACAGTGAATTGTAGGATCGAAAAAGCTTGAGAAAATACATTTTAATAAGCGATTATAGTGACTTTAGTAGAAGACATATTGTTATTATTGACAACTTATAAAACAAACATGTAAGACAGATATTATGTCAGAAGCGGGGAAGAAGTAGCGATCGAAACCAATATTATAACACCCATAAACAATCTCGTGTACAGCTTTAAGGAAAGAAATTCATTATAGTGTTAAGAGATTTACGCCGATAAACTCCTGTCAGTTGACCAATCCGCCATTTTGAGATCAACTCAATGTACATCTAGTTATCTCAGTTTCAAACATTCACAACTTTTTGAAATGTTTTATGGTCTAATTTCTTTCACAATTTCATGGACTTATTTCTCAAAATGTTAAATTTTCGTATTTCCATCTTTCTTTCGTACTTTAATTGATCCACCACTCAATTTGTTAAAAAGGTCGATTTTCTCGACAGGCTAGACGTATAACACTCCAAACAAGGGTCTGGTAAGCCTTCATCTAACAAGGTACACGTCACTGTCATAGATGTCAGCAAACACTCAGATTATCAAGCACAAACATTATTACAGTAAATACATGTTTCGAAGTAAATAAAATTTAATGCAATAAAATGAGGTGCACTCCGTCAGTACTGTATGTACACAAAACGCGACGGTGATGAATAGGAACAAACTAGCATTGAACAAACAGTAAGGCCAAATAACAAAAATGAAGTGTTTCTGGTCCCGCCCGTCGCCTCTTTTTTTAAAACCATTTACTATTCAGAAGAAGAAAAAAAAAGCCTGTGGTATACATTGTGTTTAAAGGTATATACCAATTTTGGAAGCGCCCCCCCCCCCCCTCCAAAAATGAAATGGAAGGTCTTATTACCAATCATATGAAAGAATATGTTTTCACTAATACGTGATGATACAAATTTTGCCGGGAAACAGCCTACTAATATTTGGTAAATGATCATATCGATCCGGCCTGGATATATAACGCGAATGCACTTCAACATTGAATATTTGGGCATATATTCTGCTTGTTTGCGAATTAAGGTTGAATAATTGCCATCTAAACCTTTGAAGGCAATATTCAAACAATATGAAATGGAGATTTTGCACCCAAAACCCTTGAACCGCAAATTTACCACTAGCGGTCTTTATCTTTAACTTATTTTGTCATATATTGCATCAGTATACTCACATAGCACAATATATGTGAATAAAAAGGCTCGGCTAGCTATAACTAGCATGGCAGCCATCTTGGAAATAAAAGCAATAAATAGTAAAGCCCTGCCTCCTCCTTTTTTTGTAAAGTCCGGCAAAAAAACAAGTTTAATTTTGTTATAGGGCATATTACATTATGATATAACGTCTTTATGCGCTTTCAAAGGACTTTGGATATTATTACCCTGGCTTTAGCTCATTTTTAAAAGGCATTGAAAATATTTTTAGCATGACATGGGCGCAGCCATTTTCTTGAAAATGTGACGTACCAGGCAAATTTATACATATATCACAAAATAATCACACACCAATTTTTAGTTGGAAAGATCTTTTTGAATTCAATCACAAATCCTTTACTTTTCAACCAGGGAAAATCATAGCTGAGAAGATAAAATCATATTTGGTGAAAAATACATATGGTCACAATAACCCATTTATTAAAAGAAACTGAAATATAGCAGTTGACAAATCTTTTTCGTTTATGCGAAACCTTCACCCAGAAGAGCACCAGCTTATTTATGAAATGTGCGTTAATAATGTGAATGAAATGCTTCATCACCAAACGCATCTGGGAAGGAAGCAGGCATACTTTGAAGCATTTACTTGATAAACGACTTCGCATAGTCACGTTATCAAGAAAATGGCGATGCCCATAACGGTCGTGCCGAGAAACTGTACATTATTCTTGCTTTATCTCTTTAATACTAGTACACTCTGGTGGGGAGTACTTGAGATTGAATGAGCAAGAAAGCAATACACCTCTCAGAATAACAATTTTTTTTCTTCCGGCGAGATTCGTGACGTCACGAATAGAGGACCCGACTCTACGTGCAATTCCGTGTTTCAGACTTCGAGATTTTGGTGGAGTTTACTCGCATAAATTCACCATTCTGAACTTGTTTTGTCGGTTGGACACCATTTAGTGTTATTCTGGGGGTTAAAAGCTTTCTATTGATGTAGTTATCTCAATATTTGGGATTGTCTTAGAATGTCAACTCTAAGATAAATAGAAATAATATATATTTAAATATTTACTGATAAGGTGTGTAATATAATTTTGGGAGGACTGCTACAGAGGTTTATATTTTCCCACGGGTTTCAATTTTCACGAAGCGCTATGATCAAGAGGGAAAACCCCATGCAGAGGGATACTCAGATTTGGTTTGGACTGGAATGTGCCGCTCAAGCCTCGATCGAAACCCCTAACAATTAATAGGGGCCATTTCGGGTCATTTTTCTCGAAAGAAGACCCATTTTTCACAATTTTGGGGTATATTTCGGGTGTAACATCCGAAAGTTTAGCAAATTTTGAAAAATATGGACCCATTTTAAATGATATTTTTGTTAAAAGTGGGACCCATGTTTAGGGTTTTTTGTGTGAAAAAGCGACCCATTAGAGCGGCACACCCCCGTTAGTCCTAATATGTGAGTACCCCCCCCCCCCCCCCGGCAACTTCCTTGCAGTTCAAAAATGATATACTCTACTATACACCCTCTGTTATACAAAAAAAGGCTTAATCTACAGTAAATTATTATACATCCTATAAAATAGTGTTTAATCGCGAATCATTTAGTATTATTTGTGTGTGGAATGTGTTCACGATTGGATGAACTGGAGGAATGTTTACTGATATTTTTTGTTAAAAGTGGGACCCATGTTTAGGTTTTTGTGTGAAAAAGTGACCCATTAGAGCGGCACACCCCGTAAGTCCCAATATGTGAATCATAGATGATTTTAAAAGTAATTAGCAATTTTCTAGGTGTAAACTTATTTTTTTGACTCACACGGTATAACATTTCCTGCAATTAGCAGCAATGATCATCATGAAAAAAGTCTGTTTTAACAACTTATTTGCTTTTTAGGTAAAATATCACCATCATGTCAAATTTCCTTTCACAAAACTGTGTCGTAGCCTAGTCCTGCCTCAGGGCCAGCATAATGTATAGTTGAGTTCTCGTTTTCAGGCCGTAAATGCCTTCAAAGTGCATGGTTTTTGCTCTTATTCTTATTTATGACATTTCTAGTGCTCTCTTAGGACGCAAAATTGCTAATCGGGCCCCAAAAGGTATGAAATTTAGCCAATACGATCATACCAATTTAGCTCCACTTTTAAAAAAATGCGGTGACAGTTAATTAATGAACTTATTAATAATAACAATACACTGGCCGGCTGGTTGTGCCAATTATAACCAACAGGAAAAAGCCAACGAAAATCCAACATCGGCATTGGCTAGAACAAAGTGTATAAGGCGCTATTTTGTTTTTTCAACGGCTGGTTCAAATTATCTAATATTTTTGGTGGTACACAAATATTGGAAATCGTTAAATTTATGGATATTTCAGCCGTCTCTGAACCGATTTGATCAAACAAAGACGATATGGTCATTTAAATTGTATGTTCTTTCAAATTTGACACTCAGTTTTTCATTATCTCACCAACAAAAGTATTTTGTGTAGCGCCCTCTGCAACAAAACTCAACTATCCCTTTAAAGGTCTTTGCCTTGTCATAAGACCCAAGTCACATTTACAACACCTAGGGAAGCTAGTATTTTTCACTGGGATTACTCAGCAACCTTTTAAATCTTTTTAAAACATACATTGCTCCAACTGGAGTCGTTCTATATATATTGTACATGTTCTATTATTGTATTGTATGTATGTATTTTATTCTATGTAGCTCCCTATGTTTTGCATTTGTGGAGAAATAAATTGAACTTTGAACTTTTGAACCTCATGACTCTATACTGCCGCCCTCTACTAACATCACTGCACAATATACATGCAAATTATATAAATGATAATGCAGCAAAAATTATGAATTGTTTGTCATATCACATTTTATTATGATAAGAGTATACACAGTTTTTTATGTACACACATATAGGAAGCATTACACTCAAAAGGAAAGCAACAGTTAAATACATGTACATGTATATAAGAAATAATGCCTATTTAAGTATTCAACTGCATAGCAACATTCTGTATATATGCTAAGCCGTAAAACATTCTTTTTAATACCTTGACATGCCCATTAAATAATTTCTTGTTCATTAATCTTTCTTTGAATGTGAGAAAAACAAAATTCTCCAAGAACATGTTTGAACATGTATTTTTAAAGTGAAAGAGTCCCCTTACCACAGTTTAATTACGGGAAACATTATGAACATAAAAAATGATATGATCAGGCCATACGAATTAGAGATCAAAACCATCAATAAGATAATAATCTAATTTGAAAACATTCTTAACAAATTGTGTCCAGCAAGTATATCCTTTGTGATATTAATCTAGTTAGGCCTGAAATCCTTGCATGAAAATTCATATCTGTAAAAGAAATCATATGCACAAATAAGCCAAACAAGTTTATCCATTCCGATATATAAAGTTCAAACACGTTTTCCCCTGACCCCCCCCCCCCCCCCCCCCCCCCCATTAAAAAAAAAAAAAGTGAAAAAGTATGATTTCATATACCTAATGAAATTAAAACCACACATGAATATCACATTTCAATTTTATGTAAAATCGAAATTAAGTTTTCTAAGACCTTTAATAAAACTTATGGAAAGTAATAATCATTCACCTTACAGGTTTCAAGACACTTTGTGATCATATAATCATTACTTTCAATTTCTTGGCAATTGAGAAAAATGTTTTTGCATGCAAATATAAATTTCATGGATTTTAATACTGCTTCAGAAATGATCCTCGGGCCATCCTAAATAAAAAATGTACTTGAATCAAAAGAATCCACAAGAATGATTTACCAGATATTAATGTCTTCATGTTTCAAGTTGAATGATTTCATCATTGCCTTGAATTAATTAACGTATCTCATTATTGTCCTCTATCCAATTCTGTTCTCTTTATTTGAATTTGAATGAAGATTTTTTTTTTATATACACATGCAGGTTGTTGGAACACTTAAGTTACAACAAAAAAGCAATCGTTCAACATTTTCTTCCTCTTACAATGGTATATACATGAGTGATAAATAGAAAAATAGAATATAGAAATTATTTTTGATAAATACAACAAGTAGTAAGAAATGCATGGAAGTTGAACAATTTTCGTACAAATTTTGAAAAAGCGGCGGCAATTTTAGGCCTTCTTCATAACATATTACTTCATTCTTTGATTCACTATACATCATTATACAGGCTTCCATGCATGATTTGTTAAATATATATATATAAAAGAAAAAATCTACAACAAAAGATAATTGTACATTATAACATATATGATTACAACTCATTTAGAAACCCACATATTCTACAAGGGGCATACTTGCAACACTTGGGGCAACTATTTAAAATGAAAGCAAATTATAAACCAGACATTGCAACCGGGTAATGGTAAATATGTACCGCAACTGTAAATTTGTGAGACAATTGTTTCCAAATCATATTGCCTTGACCTTTGTAAGTATTGATGCTACTATTATTCAGTAAGCAAATAATAACCAACGACTCTTGCGAAGGGACAAACTATCATCGCAGAAATGATCTTCGGGCTACTATCTTGCCAAAGGCGAGGGAAGACAGCAGAGCCCCCAAGATAACCGAGGCGATAATAGTGTGTCCATCCCCCAGAGTAAGGGATGTGATTATTTGCTTTATATCCCACGTCGACAGTATTTTTCCAATGAGAAGAGGAATGATGAACACAAAAGTCAAAGCTAAACATACATTGAATTTATCTGTACAGTAGCAAGCTGCGTCTGCTTGTGTGTTGTTGCACATACGTGCTTTGCATTGACCTCCACTACAAAAGCGTACGCATATTTTGCAAAACCATCGTCCATTACATGTAGCTCCTAATGTGTATGCCCAGGCAGTATCAGCGAACGAAGACTATCAAATATAATGTGATAGTTTTTACATTCACTGTGACAGTCAAGACATGTAAATTATCATTTTTCATGTGACCTCATTTGGACCAACCATGTTGCAAGATTCTTGCTATGTGGGATATAATTATATGTAACTCATGAATAAGTGATTTATCAATAATAGTAATAATAAAATCTGGATTTATATAGCGGTTAATACGGAATACCGTCTCTAAGCGCGTTACGTATATATTATTGAGTCATGAATCATTCTTGATTCCAAGAAAACAATTGACGATATCGATTACAGGTTTAATATATGACAGCTCATATACAGGGCTATTTCAACTCCCCCATGCGGATAAATAAGCTACATACATTGTATATGTGACAAAAACTAAATAAATATATGCATGCAGTCTCCATGACTGCTATGATGTTCAGTTTAGCACCTAATATTTGTGATATTTCTGTAGGACACAAGAGAAGAAAACAAAACACTATTCAGAGAAATATAAGAACAAAATCACAAAAGCTTTCAAGAAATCAGCCTATGGTAATTGCAATAGACTTGCGTATCACTTATTGCAATTTTTGGTTTGGTTTATTTTACCCAACTGCTATACATGGACGCAATTGTTTGCTTGAAATTAATCAACCAGGGGATCGACAGCTTTATTCCTCTCTGAGGTACTTCTTAATGCCTACCGAAAAGGCACTAGTACATTGACTTGGCTTGGCTTTGAACCCAGGACCCCCTGGTTATGAAACCACTGCTCTACCACTGAACCATCGCTCATATTACATAATCTGAACATGATTTCTATAGGTGATACTGTAGGGTATTGAACCCAACCTTAAGTTGATTCTCTCGAAATTTTTTGCAATTGCGCTACAGGAACATGACCTTAAAAATCTCCCTGCGCTATTCATACTTCACATAAACTTAAGATGTTCATGCATGGGTATATAGTCGTTCATGAAGTAGGCAACTTGGCGATCACTACATAACACTCCAGCCTACGGGTATTACGCTCCCGTGCGTACGTCTGTGTGCTGCCCTCTATATACCCAAGCATGAGCAACTTTAACCGACAAAGGACATATGGTTTGCAGCCATAATGGAAACATTTTCAGGTTTTTGGTATTGTGGATAAACTAATTACTCGACATGAGTAAATTGGTCTACAAACAAAATCGTACCTGGTTCATGTGTTTGGTATTGTGCATTAACTCATTATCTGACATGAATAACTTGGTCTATAAACAACATTGTTGGTTTCTCGTGGCAAGGTTGATCTTGAGGCTCTTTTCAATGCATCGTTTTCCATGAGGTACGGTAACTATAAGCACTCAATAATTTTTCTTCACTCTATTGCTGTCTTCCAAGCAGACGGACATGGATGGATGCAAAGAAAACATTTCCAGACATTTTTTGGAGAAGGGACACTATCTGGAGCTCCATGATTTAAACTACGACAGCACTTGCTTGAGCATGTCACAACTATCTCTCTCCACGTGCTATGGGTCTACCTGCCTAAACCCTCTCCCTCCTATCCTCTGCTCAAAGAAACTTGTGTTGAATTCATCTTCTTCACACAAGATCAGCATATTCTCCTTGTCCTCCAAAGTCCCCATCCTCCTGCAAAACAAACAAAAAATCATGAAGAATAATACTCATTTAAAAATAATAACTTCTTGATTATTTAGATCATGGCTATTTTATGTTTATGTTGTTTCCTTTTTTTGTTTAATTATTTACTTGTAATATGATAAACCCAAATGATTTGTAATGTTCTTTGTATTAATGATCTGCATGTATTTATATTCATAATTTACCAATGTCATTGTACTCCATTGAATAATGTTTATAATCATGTTGAAAATGTATGTATTATATCAATCCAACCCTTTGGTTGCTACGATTAAATAAATAAATGAATGAATATTGAAAGGAATATTTCACAATTTAAAGTTGTGCTAAAACTTTCCAAACATAAATATAAATTGCTGATCTTAAACTATCAATTTGGTGCACGATGCAATGATGTGTGCAATGTTGATGATGGATGGAATTGGAATACATGGAGCATTGCTAATCAAAGGGCACCTTAAATATTTTCAACATGATGACTACCTGTAATAATTAATGGATAGTATACATGTAATTTGTGGAAACAGCAAGGGACATAGTAAAGCTAAAGCATGACAAGTGAAGCAGATAGCTTGAGCCTTGGTTGGAATACTTTAATAGTTGGTAAACCATACCGTCTATTCAGAGCCAGAACTCTGTTAACTCTTTGTTAAAGTACATGTGTATGAGTTCTGGCTTTGCACAGATGATATTACATTGTTTCAGATTGCAAAAAGGGAAAATCGGAAGGAAGAAAGTGTAGTTTATTTCCGTAAGAAAATGAAAAGTGCAGGCAGGAGAAGCACACTTTTAGGACATTTTAGACATAAGAATGATTATATAGAAATGTAATAAATTAAATAAGTACATATTCCAAAGAAGAGAAAGAGTACATATTCATTTCTGCAAAGGATCTACTTTGCAACTTGGTTTATAGAAATACATCAAATTTCAATTACTACACCAACAGATAATAAGGGCATTACACATATATGCATTACAGGGTATATGGCTAAAATTTTAGATTGTGAGTCAAGCTACATATAGCTGTCTTTTCTCATAGTACTTTCCTGCTACGAAAGCATTAAACCAATCGACTGTAAATATTAAACAAAGCCTGGATTAGCTATATACGAAGTTAAAACATGAGTACTTATCAATATCGATACCATTATGATCTATAATGAATATACTGCCCTTAAAGCATTTTTGTTTCCTCCAGAGCTAATGATTCTAGGGACAATTTCTACATTTCAAAACAGAGAAGACAACAAAAAAATGCTTTTAAAAAAAAAAGGTGTCTTTTCATTCTGCCCTCTTAAACATAAATTCTTCCAACTACGACTTATTCAGTTACAATGTAAAAATTGGTATATGCAATCTGCAATTGTCTAAAACTTTTGTTTAAGCAGGTCATTCTCTTTAATATAAACCCAAGATTTTCAGGCATGAAAAATGTATGAAGAACACAAAAAAGAGCACACAATATTATAAGAAGATGAACAAGTAAATACTATTATGAGGAACATGTTAAAAATAGCATGATTACAATCAAATAAGTGTATTAGTCTTCAAGAAAACATTTACCAGTATTAAAGTTCAGAACATGCAGTGTACATGTATAGAGTCACAATGCAATCTATATCCAGACCGAATGCATGTAAAAGGGTACCATGACTATAAACCAAATGTGATGAACACGACAATCTAGTAAGCATGATACCTTTCAAGAGTACATTTCAGAACACACTGACAAAGCAATGTAAGGACAGATTGAATGTATGGAGCACCACAACCAAACAAATGTAATGAACAAGACTATCAATTGTACCAAATAAGTCTTATACCACGCTCTGGTTACATATCAAATGGTACATGAGGGTGCCAGTGATATACTCCAAAAAGCAGGTAGGGGCACGGGAAGGGACATGGTGTGTGGAAGCAGACTCAGTTAAAGTCCTAAGTTTAGTTATGAAATCTTCACCATTCTCTGGTTATACACATAGTTGAGAGGGTGCATAATGGTACATATGATTTACCCCCAAGAGGTGGTGGGGTAGGGGTACTGGACAGGGCGGGGTATTAAGAGAAATTTAAGTGTTGCACAATAAAAGAAGCCGCCATACTCTTGTTATACACATAGATGAGATGAGATGGTGTATGAGGGTGCAAATGATTCACCCAACGAAAGGGAGCGGGTAGGGGTACTGGAAAGGATGCAATATAAGTGATATCTGACGGTCACACAATACTGGTATTAAACAGAGTTATATAAGAGTGAAATCATCCACCATAATCTTGTTATTACAAAAAGACACGAGGGTAAAAGAAGGTGCAAATGATATACCACAAGGGGTGGAGGCTAGGCAAGGTGGGGGCTAGGTAGGGAGGGGGCTAGGCATGGTGTGGTCTTAAGGATTATCAGTAAGTCACACATAATAGTTTAATACAGACAACTGATATTTAAGTAAAAGCATCCACCATACTCTTAATTTACCTGATGGGATGCATAAAGGGTGCAAATGATATAACCCCAGGAGGGGGGGGGGCAGGGTTACTTCAGAGTGGAACAGTGTAAGTAACAAATAATGGTAACACAGTAAGTTAAGAGTCAAACCATCCACCCATTTTCTGGTTTAATATACATGATGGGGTGCATGAGGTGCAACTGGCATACCCCTGTAGGAGTGGTATGGGGGTTACCACATATGATAATAGGCCATTTTGGTATAGGGGGTACCACATATGATAATAGGCCATTTTGGTATAGGGGGTACCACATATGATAATAGGCCATTTTGGTATAGGGGGTACCACATATGATAATAGGCCATTTTGGTATAGGGGGTACCACATATGATAATAGGTCATTTTGGTATAGGGGGTACCACATATGATAATAGGCCATTTTGGTATAGGGGGTACCACATATGATAACAGGCCATTTTCGTAATGTAACCAAAGTCTTTGTGAAGTGCCTTGATATGAATTATTTCATTCACCTGTTAAACATGATGAGGTGCATGAGGGGGGAAATGATTGAGCCCCAGGGGGTGGGACAGGGCTACTTTTGAGCGGAACATTGTAAGTCACAAGTAATGGTAACAGAGTAAGATAAAGAGTCAAACCATCCACCATACAGTGAATAAACAATCATGATGGGGTGCATGAGGGGTGCAAATGGCATACCCCTGTAGGAGTGGTATAGGGGTGCACGAGGGGAGCAAATGGTCCCGGTAGGAGTGGTATAGGGGTACCACAAACATGTATGTATGATAATTGCATCTGACAGAGGAGAGGGTGATGAAATCTTGAATACAAACAGCCATTGATTCTTTCCATGCCACATACCTGTATTATTTGCTATCCTGTGAAACACCCAAGGATACATGCACACGAGAAAGGATGAGATAAACACACGATATCGATACGACAGTTAGATTTTCAGCAAATCAGTCAAACAAGGGTTTCTCTACCACGAATACATGCAGAGTGGATATTGTGTTTAATTCCTTCTTTTGTTTTGTTGATAAAAGAGCATATACCCAAGTCACATCGGCAAGACTAATAAGAGACCGAACAATAAATTCATTACTCAACATCGCCAAGAACAGGGGCTGTTTCACAAAACTTGGTCATCAGTGACAAATGACATTTTTTGTTATAAGCTACTGAAATCCTTGCTTCTGATTGGTTCATTGGCAGATTTGTCACTGATTTTGGTCACTTGTCATTGAAAAAAGGCTTTGTGAAACACCCCCAGGTTGATTTGGAGTAAGTTTGGCATTGTGAATGAGGTATAACTTTTAATCAACATAGCATTTAATAGTCAATGTTCATTCTCCAAACAAGCATTTCAATTATCAGGACATGATACACAATGGCATACAATATTAAAGTGCTATAACTATGAGTATATGACTGGCAATAATTTGGAACAATCCTTTGTTTTACTGCATGAATGTTAAGCATAAAGACAAATCAAATGCATCATTGAAATTGGGTTAGTAAGCTCATTTCTTCCATTCTTCAATTATGTAACATATCGAATCGTAGGTATGCATCTACAATGGGGTCTGAATTGCATTTCAAAGTGTCATCCTGTGTTTGGTTACACCTGTACATCATGAACACCTTCTATAAAACCAGAAACTTCTTCCAGGGAATCGTGGTCAAGATACCTGAAAGTTTCATACCACAAAATCTATGGTAATCGACATGACCTATATTAATTTAATAATATCATTTTGCAATTCGCGAAAGCTTCTTGCGAGAAAAGGCTGAGAAAAGGCACAATACACAAAGTTTTGTGGTTATACTGACTTCATGCACTGTAGAGATGGTTTTAAATGAGCTGATAAAGACTGAGTGCCCTACATCATTTTAGCTGATATGTCTTTCCTTTTTTGTTTTAATGAACATTTTGCAATGAACCCTTTTACAGATTGTTTTTTTCTTTCACTTTTCCATTACAGTACATACATGTAGCTTGATTAAATTCTGATGCATGATAATCATATTTCCAGTTTGCTATGTGACAGCTTTAAAATAGTTAAATACTCTATCCTCTCATAGCCTCAGGGAGAAGATTTGTATTAACCCTCAAGTTTCCATCGCTTGCTTTTAAAGACGATGTGTGGTCCGAATTAATTTTAACAAAACATCAACTCTAAACAAAATACCTCAAATATACCCTTATAAAGTAGCGATTTAGTCTGATGAGTGCAAGAAAAAAAGATTTAGAAGCCTGAAGAGAACAGATTTACCACAGAAAAAAAGAGAAGAGTAGCCTTCCTTCCCAAACACATCACTCAGTCAAAAAAGGCAAAGAACTGCTTTTAAGAGTGTTTCATATTCTGTTTCATAATACAAAGATCATGGACTATGAATTTTGAAGGGGCCATTCTTGGGTACAAATATGAGTTATTGTACTCACTAAACAATTGGACCGAGTTAAATTCCATGCAGGTTAGTTTGTTTTCAAGCATAAAGGTTCTTCACCCCGAAACACCCAAAGGCAAGCAAGGCATACTGACCTATTCGCCCTATAAAGCTTAGTATGTTTTCATTAATCGCAGCCTTAGACTTTGTACCTTTACCCAATATCTAGTTCAATACATTAGCATAGCAAACTGACATTTTAACCCCATGCTAAGTACGATGTCATTTATAGCGTTTATAGACTTTGCACCTTCAAACACCACTTATCTCCATACACTTGCAAAGCATGTTGACCTCTTCGCCCAACCCTTACTACGTTTCAATAATAAAGGGCAGATACTTTGAAACCTTGAACTTTATCTAGTTTAAGAAGTTAGCATAGCATACTGATCTCTTTACCCTATGCAAAGTACATTTCAACTCATAGCGGCCATAGACTTTGCGCCGCACATCTAGCTCACAATATTATCACTACATACTGACCCCTTCTTCCCATCCCTCTGAGGCTCCTGCAAGCTGGTAGTGCTGCTTCCGGAGCTCCGCCAGCTTGACGCGCTCCTTCTCTAGCTTACTCTCCAGCTCTATGACGGTCACCTGGGCCTCCATCTCCATACGCTTGGTCTGTGTCAAAGTCATCTTGGTAAAGTCGGGTGAATCTGGTGGAAATTAAATATTTTTTAAACGTAAGAAAACTTCTGTATAGCAATATTCTAAAGGATTTCTATGTCAAAGTATATGATATATTATGTATGTAAACTTATTTTGACTCTTTGTATGTATGAAAAATGTGAGCAAAACAAATTTGCAATACTGGACAACAAATTGAATTGATTTGAAATTGAATTGATATGTTACATCTAGTATACCGTAACACAATATTTGAAAGAAATATTAGAAACTGATCCAGCAAAATATGTCAGAAATAATTTTTGCTGACTTTTTTATCTATTTATTGCAAATGCTCAGCTTTGAAGGAAAAAAAATTACCCGGTATATAATTTAACAGGTGAAACATTCGAGACCGAAATGCATCAAGGCATTCTTATTTATAAAAGAGATTGCTACCTTGAACAATGAGTGATTCTCTTCCTTTACTTCTTCATCATGATCTGAATCATCACTATCACTGTCATCATCTACATAACAATCATCATCAGCATAAACATCATCATCATCATCTTCATCACCCTCAATACCGTCCTCATCATGATCTTCATCAATATCATTATCCTTAACTTTATCATCATCACCATCACCATTATAATCATTGTCGTCACCATCATCATTATCCTCATCATTGCCTTTTTGTCATCACCCAAGACATAAACTGTTGACACAGCAACGCAAGTCCAGTTTTTATCTTCACTATTTCACCAGGTTATAGTCACTCGTACCGTAAGTATCAAAATATCCCAACGGCCTTACTTCATCATCATCATCATCATCATCATTATCATCATCATCATCTTCATCATCGTACCATTGGTATCTTCCTCAACTGGAAATTCACTTCAGCTCAAACCACAAACCTCTTAATTACTGGACTCTCTTGCTCACAAAACAAAAGTTAATTTCAGACCACTTTTCCTTTTCTTCTCTCTTACCTCCTTCCTCGATCATCTGTGCACCCGTCTTGGCGGATGCCACCACTCCTGCCGTTGCCGTGGCGACGTTCCTGGATGCGACCTGGAGGCCCTTGAGGTTGGGGCTTCCCTTGTCCGCCTTGACCTTGCTCGCTGCCACCAGCTGAGCGGTGCTGGCTGCGATCTCGTGGGAACAAACCATGAGCTCCTCAAACTTCCCTTTCCCTTTCATCAACTTGTCAGAGCTATCACTGATCACAGAGAAGAGGATAAAGTTCACATTGATTTATTCGCGTCTTTATTCATTTATTAATTCTTATACTTAATAACCAGGGAGGCATCTTTATTTGTTAAAACACCATTTTTTTTCTTCTCAAGAGCAACTTGCAAAAAAAAATTACATCATACAAATATTAATGTGATCTACATTTGCCACACTCAACCCAGGTGATGTAAATGGGTACCTGGCAGGAATTAATTCCTTGAAATGCTAGAGCGCCGCAGTGGCTGCCTTGCTAAAGCCAGGGTAATAATTGGGGCAGCGCCAGGAGCGTCACAACGTGACGGACATGTGCGCTTTACAAGAAGCCACCATTATTATTATTATTATTATTATTACAGAAATTCAGGTACAGTATATACACAACATATGAAATTAGATCATAGGAAAGAAAAACTAATTTATTGCCAGAAAAAAAAAAAAATTACAAATAGTCAAATGAAATTAAAATAATGCTAAACTAAAGGTGGATATGTGCGCTATAAAAATATCCAATATTATTATTATTATTACAGTCAAACCAGCTTTAGTGACCACCTGTCTACAAAGGCCACATTTGTTGTTTCCCTTGAAAATGGTTTCTCATTGAATCATGTCCTAAAGGAACCTGTCTACAAAGGCCACTTATTGTGTTTCCCTTGGGCAGTTGCTATAGACAGGTTTGACTGTATTATCATTCATGCCCTTCTGAAGTGCACATGACAAAATTTGGAATTTGTAAGATTTATAAGGCCAAAGGTCATTACTTACACCAAATGAGAAGCTCCGACCCCGACCAGCTTAGCAGCGGAGAGGAGGCCCTCTGTCCATCTATGATGACGCTTGTAGAACTCCTTGGCGGTTGCTGAACCCTGTTAGAAAATAAGATGAATAACCATGACCCTAAATCATAAAATACTGAAAAGCAATAAGATCTCCTTGACAGTGTATAGAGAAGATATGATTTATCAGTGATCGCTATATGTATAGTAGCAGAACTGCATTGCAAATGTTTCCTCACAGTTCCGAGGGGGATGTTTGGGAGGAATGAAGCAATTTTTTATTGTTAGACAGTATCAATTGACAAATTAATCACTTCTGTCGGTACCAATGTCAGGGAGGAAATAGCCTTGGTATTCTGAGACTAATTATTACCACCAAAGTTGTTACGCATCGATAATAAGAACGAGACTACCCCTCAATACTTTTTTTTAAATAAAAATAGGATCACTATCAACAAGAATTAGACAAACGATATTCATGCAGTGCAAATAAAAAGATTTACAAGGGATGCCCGTCAATGAGAACTGAAAGATAAACTCAGAAACATAATCTCTTTCATTTACAAGGGGTTCCCATCGATGAGAACTGAAAGATTAAACTCAGAAACATAGTCTCTTTCACAGTAGTTCTTAGAGTCAGGTGAGTCAGGTGGGCATTGTTTATCATCATCACCATGACCATAATCATTACTCACCCGTCCACTTGCGACGATTTCTTGTTGGAGTGACTTTGACTTGGTGATGAGTTCTTTGATGCAGATCATGAGTTGAGTACAGGAGTCGAGGATTCTCTCATTCACCTCCAGCTTCACACCGGTGTCGGCTTCTCTCGACCTCTTCAGCATCTCCTGCAAGACCAGGGACGAAAGAAAAGAGATACAATTTGGGGTATCTTAGATGGATGGTGTTTGACATGACTCTCCATCTCATCTTTTAAATGGCAAATTTGGGGTGCATACCACTGTATTAGGACTTTGTCAGAATTGATCATGACTTGGTCTTTATGTTGGAATTATCATCAACATCATCAGAAAAACCCCACTGTCATCATCATTACTAACATCACCACTACCACTATCAGTATAATTACCCTCACCATCATCATTTTCACTGTTGCCATCATCATCACCACCATTACCATATTACTAACACCACATCACCACAATATTATCATCATCATCACCATCCTTCTCTTCCTTCTCTTCCTCCTTGTCATCATCATCATCGTCATCATCATCATCTTCATTGCTATTATCATCACCATCATCATCATACAAATCCTTCACCTTCTCCTTCTCTTCATCGCCATCATCATCATCATCGTCGTCGTCGTCGTCGTCGTCATCGTCGTCGTCATCATCATCATCATCACCACCACCACCACCACCACAACCATCATCATCATCATCACCACCACCACCACCACCACAACCATCATCATCATCATCATCCATCAAGGGTTTACCTCTATCCTACTAGCAGCCTGGTCGACAAGGTCTGTTGTGGACTGCATCTCTGCCTCCACAAGATCACCAATTTCTTCTGTACTACTTATCTCCTCGGATATCAGCTCCTACATGAAGGAAATACGTACAAGATTATTCATTGCTTTGCTTAATATAATTTGTCATCCTTACGCCGTTTTTGAAACTCTAGATCTTTAACAACTAAAATTGCATACTTTGTCCTGCAATACAATTTCAGGCACTGAAAACTGATTATCAATGGCTGGGGGGGGGGGCACTTTGGCCAGTTATAGTGGCACAGAAGCCAAAAGAATAATCATAAAATCTCCAGTTAAAAGAAATCCTTATGCTTTGTATAAAGTTGACAGGAGAGGACTAGTTAGTACAGGGGCATCAATGCAAATGCCTAGTGGCCTCTGAGCAATTGTAGCCTTACCATGAGTCAACCTGACTTTCATGTAAGCCCCTCAAGTTCTCACAAGACTATGGGTCGTATTCTTGAAAGCGGACTAACTTTAGTCCATGGTTTAATCCACCAACTAAGTATGGGATGCCAAGTGTCCATATGAATATATTTTTTAATAATTTAATCTGTCACTAAATTAAAATAAAATGTAATAACATAATTGATAAACAACAATATAACCATGATACAATTATGTTATTATGGTAATTTAGGGACATATCAAATTATTCAAAAATATGTTCATATGGATACTTGGCATTCTATACTTAGTCGGTAGATTAAACCATGGACTAAAGTTAGTCCGCTTTCAATAATACCAATCTCCTTCCTCTTACCTGTGTGAGGTTAGAGATAGCACGAAGGTTCTCCCTCAGGTCGCCTTCATTCCGGGTAAAGCCCTGCTGGTCCTCTTCCTTCAAGGCATGAAGTACAGTCAAGGCACTGCTACATGTCGCATGGCAATTGGATGACAATCCTGTACAAAAAGTAAGTCCAGTAATGCTAATAGTCGAAAAACAAATGACACTCTAAACAAAATTAACATAGCATAACCAAACTTTAAAAAATATTCCATTTAGTATGGCTTCAGGGTGTTTGACAATTTCCATAAATACGATTTAGCAGTTGTTATAGATAACAAGTTTTATGAAACGGGGCCCCTGGACCCACTTTTTTAAAGAGTTGTGATTGATCCATATAAAATGCAAGTCCTCTAATCAGTTTGCAGTCCCTATCTCTCACATACATAGTTGCAAGGCCTGGTTTATTGAGAAATTTGTTTGCCAACTACTGAGCTGCAAAAGTTAGATCAAGTATTAAAATTGACGACAATACTTATGTGATTAGAAATATTAAAACCCCACTCAACAAGTTTAGAAAGCTAATTGCGACTGCAGAAGGATCAGACACAGAAGGATCTCTGTCATTATTAAAGGCAAACATAAGTGAAACCAAAGGAATTTTTGTGCGAGTGGAAAACCCAAGTTCTTCAGAATGTACCGTAATCTTTCACCAGGCCACTCACTCTATGTAACATCCTAAGAAACAAATACAGTCAAACCTGCTTTAGTGACCACCTGTCTCCAAAGACCACATTTTTTGTTTCCCTTGAAAATGGTTTCTCATTGAAACATGTACCAAAGGAGCTTGTCAACAAAGACCACCTGACTACAAAGACCACTGTTTGTGTTTCCTTTGGAACAGGTTTGACTGTGTATAGGACACAGCTAGTGAAAGCAATAAATAGTATCTGAAACTGATGCAATTTGCATACTTACTTTCTCCGACATCCACAGGAGCAAGATTTGAGGTGGCTTTGCCCTGCAGCATGTATTCTCCGAGGGATTGAGAAAAGGAGGCGATGGCACCGATCAATCCTCCAAAATCTGGCAAATAATAATGGATTGCTTGTAAATAAAAAAGAACTACTCATCTTGAAAAGTTTTTTTTAAGGTAAACGATAGATTATTTGATGGTGTATCATAAACATCTTTTCTTGTTGTTTTTGTGTTTGTTTTCTTCTTTTTGTTTGTTGTTTTCTGTGGCTTTTTTGTTTGTTGTTGTTGTTGTTCAGTTAGTATATTGTCTCTGGGTTTGTTTTGTGTGTACTTTATACAACCAGGTCCAAGTTGAATTTTTATTTTGATAGTTGAATGGCATGGGATTCTTTTTTTTAATGCAAATGTTATTTTTAATATACAATGTAACACTCGGACATAAGAGGAACAAGATTTATAATCATATACTGTACACTGTATGTTGACGCTTCATGTACATGTATTACTATGTTCAGTATGTTCACAAAAAGTATGTATCAGTTGATTATCAATCATTTATATGATATTTTCTAAATACATTTATGCAAAAGGATCAACAAGTTTGATAAATGTTTTGTTATGACCAATACAATCACTTAATAGCAACAAAACAAAAACAAACAAAAAAATCTTCTTCAAATTCTAAGAAAAAGTATGATCTTTTCTCCACTCTCATGTTCTATCCTCAGTGCTTTTTGTTTCACGTCTTTCTCTTATGACTGCCATTATCACCATCATACTTAACATTACTACATCATTGGTAGGAATATTGGCAAAGTGTCTTCCAATTCATAGCTTGAGACCGGTATATACTTTAATCAAAATCCGTGCTAATATCAAATTATATAATAAAAGTGTAATTCCACCCGACTGTATACTTACCGTTGCTGTTCTGCTGGTATGAGTTGAAGCATCTCTCAAGGTTATTCACACATTCATCGGCTATGGGCGCTCTACTCTGCAAATATTCTGTTTCATTCATTACAAAGAAGTAAAAAAAGAGAAAAAGATGCGTTTAATAGATAGCATTCAAATAATACACAGCAGTGAGGGCATTAGTAAGAATTATCCACAAAAGGTACCTTTGGAACAGTCTAACACGCTTAAGGCGATAGCCAAGGGTGTTTCGACTGTTGCAAAGGTACCGAGTGTAGGTAATTTTACTAATGCCCGAACAAAATGATGTGCATTATTTGTTTTATTAGATTATGTTTTATAACATGATTTTACTAATGACCGGTCAGTAGCATCTGATAATGACCGGTCATTATCAAACTTACATGTTAGGCAAAATAAATGCCTGGTCACGTGTATGCTCTTAACCAATCATTTGATTCGGATCCACTTCATCATCTTATAATATGTATTATCATGTATATGTACGGGGTTCAAAACCCTGCCACAACACTAACGTTCCTTGCCAAGACGTTAATCTCCATTTGCCACACTTTACCCAGGTGAGGTAAATGGGTACCTGGTTGGATTATTCCTTGAAATGCACTGTGCGGTAATATTTTCCAAAGTTCTTTGGAAGCGCATAGGGACGTTATATCATAATGTGTTATTTGCTATACAAGAACGGATTATTATTATTATTATTTGAGACATACGATGGTCTTTGACGTGTGTCATGGGTTGAGAAAACCTGAGATATATTCATTTAGACAAATACATTTCAAATAATATTGCACGATAGCTGCTCTTATCTTTAGGGAAGTCCTGAGAGATGTGGACGAAAGCCATGATTTGTTCAAAATTAAATTCTTTCCTTGTGAACATTCAAGATAAGTTTGGTTTTACTGTTTAAGAATTCATTACCATAACCAAATCATTTTTTGGGTCTACCCCAGGTTTGTGGTCGAGGGAAAAGTATTAATACTGAATAGAACATTTTTACTAACATATTCAAATTTTATGCATACATTTTAAACAGAGGTTGCTCTTGACAACCTTAGATCTTTCCCAACATAGCAACAATTAATGAGTGCAGAATGGATTCCAAGTATTGAAGTTCATTCATTAATAACAGGTTAATGGAACATCTCATCACTAGGTCCCCAGGAAAGAAAATTAATAAATTTGGGTATGTTAGTAAGCTAGTTTATTGGGCATGATAACCTATTTTCGTTTTTATTCTGTGAAAATTATATTCCATAAGTAACAGAACTCAACAAAAATGTGTATATCCAGTTTTGGGGCCGAGGGAATAATGTAAATACTGAATTGATCATTTTGATCAATAGCTAGTTTATGATTTTTTTCTCCATCTATCATAGATGGAGTGATCTCTCTGCTTCACAAAGAGATGCTTCTCCACCTGTAACAGGTGAATACACACAAGCCCTGATCATCAAAGGCTGCTACTCCCCCTCAGTGACACAAAGACGTAACTCGATTTTGGCCATTTTGAGAAAAAGTGGTTTATGTGTCACTGAGCACTTGGGCTTGAAGGAGTTAAGTCTATGTTTCACTAGCCATTGACTTCAATAGGGTGTTGGGTGGACTTAAGTCTTTGTGTTTCTTTGAAAGCCGACATTTTCTGAACATTTTGATATCAAATACTCATTTTGGCAAAATATGGAGTTACGTCTTTGTGTCACTGAACCCTTGATATCTTGGTGTTTCTTACCTGGAGTACACGTAGCTGATGCAAACTGAGGATCGTCCATCTGTTGTGTGATGAGTCTCAACGTCTCCTCGGCAGCCTCCACAGCCTTGGCTACATACACAACAATAAAAAAACAAGTAAACAAAGATAAGGTTGGAGAAAAAAAACAACAACAAATAAATATGAAAACCATCAATAATGTGTTGTTTCTTCTGCAACCTCCACAACATTTCCTAGATATTTTGTCTTCTTCACTACCACAACAGCTCTGGCTAGAGATACTTAACAACAAGAATTAAACAAATAACTAACTAAACAATAATACACATATGTCTAGACATCTTTCCTTACCCCTCCATAGCCAACTTCTAAAGATGACTGCATTTGAGTCCTGAAATTCACATTTGACAGAGTTTTCTTGATGCATGATGCTATGCTTAATTTGAAATGGTATTTTTTATAGAAAGAATTGCATGGAGTTTACAAAGTAAAATCACAAAAACAAAAGTTTTACAAATCTATACATATAGCACAGTCATACAATAATATGAAGGAGAGAGAGAGAAAGACGGAGAGAAAGAGAGAGAGAGAGAGAGAGAGAGAGAGAGATGAGAGAGAGAGAGAGAGTAACAGTCTAGAGGAAGAAGAGATTTTAAAATGACATAATACGCAAACGGATTGATCAACTAAAATAATCATTTGTCGTGTCCCTTGATACATTCTAGATTATGCTGAGGGATAGAGCAACGGTTTCTCACCAAGCAATTTTTTCCTCTGTTCCTCCATTTGCCTCTTGAGCTGAGCCTCCCTGCTGGCTGTCTGAGCGATGGACATCTGCAGCTTCTCGACGGTCTGCTCAGCCGTCTGCCTCGCCAAGACCGTCTCCTCTGAGCACTTGGATACCGTTGTGAGTTGCTTGTTAGCTTCAGCATTCTAGATTAGAGATAGACATTTTGATAAATAAAGGCTACAAATTGCTTAAATAAATGATTTGTGTACAGCTACAACGTATCAAATCAACCACATTAACTTTATTCAGCATGTTATGGGCTGACGTTTTTATAATAAAAAATAAACAGGGGCTCAGGGCAAAATAGCCCCCAAAATACCCAAAAGAGCCCCCGAAAATCAGAAAAGAGCCCCCTCAAATTTGCAGAGAGTTCAATGCAAAACAAATTTTAGAATGTTACTTTAATTCAGGCTAGGTTGAAAAGTAGCCCCTGAAAAATAAGTACTAATTTTTTCCCTGACATGATGGGTAAACCCAAAATACAAATGGACTAAATCAAAGGTACAACTAACTACCAGAATTATTTTAAAAGTGATGCCATGTGAAGAAGGCAAACCCTACCTTTAAAAAAGACGACATAATAACAACTCACCACTCTCAGGAGGCCTAGATGTTCTTCTCTCAGTTTATTGTAGACATCTTTCATCTTCTTGAATCTCTCTTCATTTACTTTGGACCTCCCTGTTTTAGGTAAATATAAATTCAAATTCATTCGATTGAAGGTCAATAAAAAGATTAAAGATAAACTTGAGTTCTGGTAAGAAAAGAAAATGAATTCTCACAGAATCTAATGAAGCTTACACTGAATGTTCAAGATTACAAATAAATGTCAAGTGCCAAACAATTTTGGAAGAAAATGTATACTGGCTGAGTAATGAGCATAGAAAGATAAGGAAATCAGGGTAGTACTAGCCCCGACACCATGTGTGTTGTCCCATATACATCTTTCTGTGTAAGTGATTGTTACTTTACCAAGACTCTGCCAAATTTATGATGATTTTGATGACTCCAGAACCTTGCATTACACACCATTACTTTCATGCTATATGATCAACTTTTCTGATCCATTCCACACCTTTTCTTTCACAATGCAATCGCATTACCAGAACTCAAGTTTATCTTTAAGACTAATTCTTCACGTGTTTCTAAAAATCAGAAAATCAGATGCTTAACACAGGTCACTATGGGAAAATGAGAGTTGTGGTTTATATGAGGTTGTTTTTAGTTTACTGGTTCTAACAATCAATCCACTGCAGGATAAATGATCCAGAATGAATTGTAGCCATGTTCTCTTGACATACGATACCAACACCAGAGCTCGAGATTTGCTTTAAGGAAACATCTTTAAGGAAAGATTTGAAGTCTTAAACATTCAGTTTCAAATCCATTTAATTCCAGAAGAAATTTGCCTACCGGTATTGTCATTACCAAAAACTCAAAACTATATGTACTCAAACAAGATTATCTACACTCTGAATCAACTTACTTTCTGCATCTACCAATTTCTCCTCTGAGACCATGAGAGCAGCATGTTCAAGTTCCTTTACTTTGTCCCGTAACGTTTCATTTTCCTGGAGAATGAACAAAAGACGATGTGTATGAGTGAATCAAAATCAATAAGCCATCGAGTCTCTAGTAAGTATTGGTCTATTTCTGTTGACTGGACACTGCATGTTCCTTTTGCCACTACTCATATATGCATAATGAGATATGATTATTGATCGTTAAGGCTGCATGAAATAGAATATAAGCATAGATGAGGATCTAAACATGTTTTCACATTATTGATAATCAGACTTCAATGATGTTTGGCCTGTATCGAATGAAAACTTCTACACCTCTTTGAGATGTGGTGATCTTCAAGCCTTCATGAAATAGAATATTAAGCATAGATCAGGCTATAAACAAGTTTTAACATCATTGATAATCAGACTCCAATGATTTTTTTGACCTGTATCAAATGAAAACTTCTACACTTTTTCAAGATGTGGTGATAGATACTGCTGCTAGACATGAATTTCAAGCGTAAAATGGCTTTTGCAATATCACAGCAAATGTAGGACCATTTTTATCAAAATGACGATATTGCAGGATTAACATAACCACAAAAGCACAGTGTAGACCATGTACATGTATGCTTTTGTCTCACGTTTCATGGTCAATGCACAAAAATTTAGTCTAACATACAAAACTCTTTAATATCATGGAAGGCATGAATAACAACGATATTATTCCATTTCTTATACAGTAGGCATTCTGATTAAGCGTCCCTGTGCGCTTCTGAGGTGCTCTGTAAATCATTACCCTGACTTTGATACCAGCACAAAGTGAATATCAAAGATCAAATCCTTCTAGGTACCCATTCAATACCCGGGTTAAGAGAGACAGCTATGGATAAAATGCCTTTTCTAGAAGCTTTATATTACCTCACACTGTGTCTCCACCACTGTCCGATGTTCGTTCATCTCCTGTTCCATTTCCATGAGTCGTTTCTTGAGTGCTTCAATGATTCGCTGATCTTCTTTTTTGGTTCTCTCGAGCTCAAACTTGAGCTGGTTTACCTCCTCTCTCAGCTGCTCAATGATCCAATCTCTAAAACACAATAAAAATCAAATAAATCTTATATATCATTTGCTTTCCTTTCAATCTCAAATATAGAATGATTTAATGCACCGGGTATGGATTGAATAAGGACCTCTTCCTTGGTTCTCTCGAGCTCAACTTGAGCTGGTTTGCTTCCTCTCTCAGCTGTTCAATGATCCAATCCATGAGAACCATAAATATAGAATATATTAAAACAAAAAATTGCTATTTGTTTTCCATGCAATCTCAAAAATGAATTGATTTAAGGGACCTCTTCCTTGGTGCTCTCAAGCTCAACTTGAGCTGGTTTGCTTCCTCTCTCAGCTGTTCAATGATTTGATCCTTAAAGACTATAAAATTCAAATCAAATTGAATCAAATCGGATTAAGATACAATGGTTAAAGAGAGCTCCCCTATAATTTTCTGGTCTTTTTCCTTTGTTCTCTCTAGCTCAACTTGAGTTAGTTCACCTCCTCTCTCAGCTGTTCTGTGATCAAATGCCTGAATACACTCAAAATCAAATCAAATCAAATCAAACCATTTCAAATTAAATCAAATCCGATTATTATGTTCAGGATAGTATTTACGAGTTCTCAAATGATTATCAGGTCTATTTTCTTGGATTTTGCTCAAACTTTCACTGACCTGCTTTTCTCAATTTTCTGCTTCTATTCAAAGCCCCACTGTCCTACTTGTAGCTACTTGCTCCCTCTATATAGGAAACTTCCCCAATCGGTGCCTGTTGGTCCCCCATGATCCTCTGTTTCTTATGTTAGTTGAGAGCTGAGTTAATGAGATAGCCACCTGTCAGTGACCTCGCTGTGTGGTTTAATCCCTCCTGGCCCGGTAGTATTGACGGTCTTTAAATCAACTTAATTTCAGGGTGGGCTTTCCCTTTATGTACAGTGTATGTAAGAATGTTAACAAAATTATGTACCTTTCATCTGGACCACTCTGCTGAATTTGCTGTTGTTGGGACTGTTGTCCATTCTGTTGCGGGGGTGGAGATGACATGAGGTCTACTAACATAGCACTGTGCATCACAGGTTCCTCAAATTTCTCAAAGACGGGCTCTTCAATGGATGATGCTTCACTGGGAGGCTGGAATGAATAAATCAGTCAAATCAGTTCACTTCAAGTCAGTTCTGCTGAGTTTACTTCAATTCAGTTTAGTTCAATTAATAGTCAAATTCAGTTTAGTCCATTTCAATTCAGTTCAGTTTGGTTCAGTTTAATTAAGACCGATTCAGTTCAATTGAGTTCAATTGAGTTCAATTGAGTTCACTTCAATTCAGTTCAGTTTACTTTAATTCAGAGCAAGTCTGTTCGATAAAATTTAATTCAGTTCACTTTAGAGCAATTCAGTGGAGTTCAGTTCAGTTCAACTCACTTTGGTTCAATTCAGATCAGTTCAGTTCAGTTTCAATCGTTATGGTTCTACCTAGTCAAGTGAAGTCTCGTCTAGTACTAACAGTTAAGTTAAAAAAAGATAATCAATAAGCATTTATGCTCACTGCAATTCACAATGTTATGAATTCACTTTGAAACTAATTTTCCTCCTTTCTTCAGGAATCTCAAATGAAATAACCAAACACTCTGTGCTTTGGAAGATATAAGGAATACATCACCAAAGAACTACATTTGAGAGACCATATTTGTAATACAGTCAAATCTGCTTTAGTGACCACCTGTTTACAAACACCGCCTGTCTACAACAAGCACATTTTTTGTTTTCCTTGAAATGGTTTCTCGTTGAAACATGTACTAAAGGAACCTGTTTACAAAGACCACCTGTCTACAACAAGCACATTTTTTGTTTCGCTTAGGCGGTCGCTGTAGACAGGTTTGACTGTACATGGAACTCCTATTTTTGAGTTCATTCTGAAGCTACGTGTACTTACCGGAGGGCTATCTCTTCCACTGCCATCAAGCATAGACTCATTGAGGGCAAGCATCACAGCTGGGCTGATGTAGGTGTCTTGATTCATGGAAGCCACAAAGAAGTTTGGAGGCTCCTAAAAGGATAAGAAGATTTAACAGTGCAATGAATGAAATATTAGTATTATCATTGCATTCCAACAATTTGTTACAACATTTTGTTTTAATTCGTAGATCGGGGGGGGGGGCTTTGACAAAAATTTCAATTTAACAAATTAAGTTGGAATACTGCACAAGGTAAAACTTAAGGAAATTTAATGGCAAAAGGGGGATACTGAATTTGGAAGTGAATATATGTTATATTGAATGACAAAATTCATGCAAATTTGCGAAACAATAATCGAGGGTATATGCGATCTCATGCCTTGTTCCTTTCGAGTCAGGCCCTCTCGATTACATTCAGGCTGCCTTCACGTCATATGCGTGCAGCTAAGACAATGCAAACAAGGAGTACGGGCACGGAAGAGAGGTGTGCAGTCTAAATTCACTTTTGTGTATTTTACTGTGCAAAAAAAATATGGCTATATTGCATACTTGTGCATATCTAATGAATTGTTGAGTGTCACATGACACCTTTTCAGCCAAAATGACACTCGTCAACAGAAACCCTTTCTCATATGATTACATAAGTCTTCCTATGATATGATACAAAGGGCTTGAAGGAGAAGAGGGGTTACTCACTGCAGGTAGAGTGGGTACTTGGATGAGTCTTCTGTAGTAGATGATGCTGCTGCATTTGGCGTAGAACTCCTTCAGAGCATGGAACTGCTTCAGAAACCGAGACCTATGACCGTCCAGTGTGTCCTCTGGCAAGCCTGTTTCGAAAGATGAAAATTCGCATTGAACAAGCCAACTCATATTTGATTTATTATATTGTCTGTTTGGGTTTTATCACTGTGTATAATATGGTATAATGCCCTTCTGGCCCCAAACAGGCAATATTTGAATCTATCTACCTATTGAAATTCAAGTATATATTTTATAAATTCAAACAATCACATAATATTATTTTAATGGATAAAATCTAGTAGAAATAAAAAGAATAATAAAGTAAATGAAAACTGTTTGCATCCATAGTTCTAAACTCTGAGGCAGTTTCCAAACATGAAATCTAATTATTCTTTGTGCTCTTCACTGTTTAATAACCCATAACCTACAGGAACCAGGCCATTATTTAATAAGATATTAACCCTACATAAAAAAGAGAATTCATTAATCAACAGGTTACCTAATTGAATGTTTTGTATTCTTTCTATGCAATGATTTAATATCTTTACTATTGTTTGTGATTTGTTTACTGTTTATTCACCATGGATCAAAATGTTTTGTCAATATGGTACATATGCACTGTACATGTGACAAAAGTTGGCTGTGGCAGTCCAGGGCCCTGGTTTCATGAAACTTTTATCAATAACAAGTTACGATTAATTGTTATAAGCTACTGAAATCCTTGCATTTGATTGGCTGTGAGCAGATTTTTCATAGTTCTGTGGCAGTTGTTACTGATAACAAGTTTTATGAAACAGGGTCCAGTGCTGTTGTTACATTAGTCAACCCAAAACTGTAAAGAGTCAATAATTGCAACAACAGTCAAACCTATATATAGCTACCGCCCAAGGGAAACACAGAATGATATTTGTAGACAGGTGGTCTTTATAGACAGGTTCCTTTAGTACATGTTTCAATGAGAAACCTTTATCAAGGGAAACAACAAAAGTGGTCTTTGTAGACAGGTGGTCACTAAAGCAGGTTTGACTGTACATACAAGGAATCCAACTTACATGCGTGAAGTTTGTAGAGTAACCTGACGCTGAAGTCATAGAGCTGGCCCGAATCCAGGATGACCGCGATGAGGGGCGAAAGACGGCACTGGCCCGACGGTGTCCCCGACATTGGTTTGGACAGGTTAAAGGATTTGAAGACTGTAGGATGATAAGGAAAGAACGATGATTAAATGCCGACGGATATAAAGACTCCATTGAAGAATTATGGTAAAATGAAAAGAAATTATGATTAAATGCAGAGATAATGACCGGTATGAAGGGTGAAAGGATTAGTCTGACCGTGTAATGGACATTGCTTTGGACAGGTTAAAGGATCTGAAGACTGTGGGTTGATAAGGAAAGTATCATGGTAAACTGAAAAGAATTTAAATTTGAAGGCTGGGATAATGATTTAATAAGAGCACATCAAATTTGCAATCATTATGTAAATGACTTTTTTTAATTGCTTTTCCTTTTAAATATTTGTACCGTGAAATCTAAGCTGTAATTTTAGAGTATGATGGCCTTTGTACTGACTGAAACTACAGTGGCATTTTGAAAGAAGCACTGCATTCATTCTCAATTGTTTTAGACAAAGGGAGAGCTGTAAAAGAATACTTATGATCATCTTCAAACAAGTTATTGATGAATACAAGGAAATATCATGGCTAAAAAAAAGAAGGAAATAAAAATAGACTTGGATCAATTTCAAGTACATGCAAAGAACACACACAGAGTTTGGCACAGACTAACGGAGGATTGCAGAATCTACTTAAACTCTAAAAGAAAGAGTTTTATTCTGTATCTTAAATATTTCTAGTTATATGTTGTCTGTTTGGAGCCACACAGGCTTCTTTCTTTATGTTCTTAATCAGAATTTGCTCAATTTTTCACAAAACCAAATTAATACCAGGGTGGACTTCCCCTTTCATTGGTTAGCCGAACTAAACTGTCTCTTTCTAAGAATATAGCAATTTCTTACCTGCTGCTTGCAATGCGATGAGAGATTCTAAGTAATCAAAAATTTCCACGGACATCTGGAAGCTGTAGAGAGAAACAAAGAAAATACTTTGTCTTATTAAAGTGACTCAGTAAAATTGCCTCAGATTCTGAAACAAAATCCTCGATTTAGCTCATGCTACAATCATAATTATAAACCTTTAGGTCAGTCAGGAATCTCATGACGTTTACAAGCTGATCGCCAATTTGATTAACAAGATATCTATGATTGGAATTCGAAATTTCAAAAAAATGTTTTCCCAACTGTTTTTATAACACCACAGACTATTGGGTAAAATGAGTATAGTAATAACCGGTCACTCAAAGATTTTTCCTTTTTTGAGGCACTTCATGATCATTTTGAAACACAATTTTTGTTAGGGTTTTAATATTACACCATATTACAGACACTGAAAACACGTAGGGCCATGCATCTCAGATTTAACATTGTTAAATAATGCCTTTAAGTGTAGCATTTATTGAATTAAGAATTTTTTTAAAGATTTTATCCCAGTATAGCTTCCTGAGTGAGCTGCCAAAGGGATTACCCAACCAAGTACCAAGTACCAAGATGCTCTTTCATTCCTACAGTACTCAAAAAGGTTTCCCATGACTGCAATTTTGGGTCATTCCTCAGCTTTAACCCATTGGATTCTGGAACCAGGTGGCTCCTGTATTAAGCCTATGGGTATAAGAGAAACCAGTAGCCAATGACTTAACTTCAACTATAGTGGGATTCTCACGACAACCATATTAAAGACTAGCCCAATTCAAGATGTTATATTTTCTTTGTTTTCATTAAATACAGATCATCTCTCATAACTGCAATTAAAAATTGTTTCATTTCATAGTTCATTTGCAGTTTTTTTGGTGAAGAAACACATACTACCAGTTTAAAAAGAAAGAAAGAAAAAATAATATAATGATTAAAATACATGTTTTTGCATTAGCCCCTAGCAGCCCCCCCCCCCACCCCAAAAAATCACCCCACAAATGACTTGCTGTATAACATAATTTTTGAAATACCACACCATGTTATTTGATCAGTTAATTACCGATACTCATTATGCGCAGTCAACTTACTAGTTATTGATATCATTTTCACACATTTTTTCAATGTCTTTCTCTGGCTGTGGTAGTACAAGATTGCCTGGCAGCAGTGGATTCTAAAGAATAGAAAGTGGAAATGAAACAAATCAATATATGCATATCATTCTCTAATAAACCTTTTCAATTTCAATGTCTTTTTTATTTCCTTCTAGCTTCTGTGCATACAAAGATCTTTAGGCAAGGAATGAAGTTTGAAGGGCAAATTGTAAATAAAAACAAAAATGGCAGTCCATTCCTATTATTCTCTCAGATATATTTTCACTGCCTTTTTCCAACTTCTACAACCCTCTTGTGGCATGGGATGAATCTGGTGAAGTACAATATGTGAAGAAAAAAAATCTGCTCGTTTGGAAACTTGTCTCTCAAATGAAATCAGATAAGCATTAGAAGTGACACTGTCACAAAAATTGAATAATTATTATTTATTATCATCCTTTTAGATCTGCTGCCCTCTCACTACTCTCATTTATCAAGTCAAATAATCATCATACTCGAGGCACTAATAACAAAACAGCTGTATATGTCACTTTGTCTGGTGTGTACATACAGTATGTCTGGATATTATACACCGTTTGCACATAGCACCATGGCAGAAATCTAAAGGCTTGTATAGATGTACCATATGTACATATAATTTGTATGCACTAACACTATTATTTCCACATGTAAATGTAAATATGTACATACATTTTACGTTTCATATAAAGGTATCAATTTTTAAGGTACATTGGAAATGCATGAAGATATGATATGAAAGAATATTATTGAAGACTGCCATTACATTTATGAAATACAATAAAAACTACAATTCTGAATAATTCAATGCCAAATACAAATGCAGATTTCACAAAATGGACACTCTACCATGTCTTTTTCTATGGCAATATGCATTTTATACTTGTCACCTTTATTATACCTTCAACCACATTATTACAATTCATTTATCAGACAATTCACTATTGTCATATTACACATCATGGCCAGCTGTTTGTTTGTTCAATACACAGTCCATAACATGTCAACAGTTTCATAGTCTATGCTCAAGAACAAACAGTATAATTCTCAATGAAACACAGGCCTGGATATTCCCACACTTTTAAAACCCTCATTTCTAATTGCAATGAATACAAATTTGTTTAATGATTATGATTCATACTTTTGTAGGGGTTATTACGAATGTAGTCATCCAGAATTGTTTGCATAGTAAAACCTGATACTTGTACTTCAAATTTCGCACTAAGACATTTTTGTGAACTGCAAAACTTTCACATCGTTTATGTTGATAGCAAACTACTCCCCAGCATAAAACTTCTGCAAATCTCCATCTCTTGTGAAATTTGCGAAATACTTTGTGCATGCAAGAGTTCTAGTTGCACAGCACAAGCGTCAGAGTAACTGAAAATTCCAAATGATTGAAGTTAAGACTACATATTACACACCCACCTTTTTGTGGAATTCCAATTTGGTGTTGAGAAGACTGCAGTAGGCGGCATTCAGTTTACCGTAGCCATCGTGGAAATGACCCTGACAAAATAATGCAAATAAACAGAAAATGATGAAATGTGTGAGTACAACTGTAAGTCCAAGGTCTGGGCGAGTCCAAGGTAGTCAGTGATTTCAGTATCATGACAGGATTTATTTGTAGGGCTAAATTGATAACATTTTGTTATTTAAATTGACAAAAATCATAATTTTCTTTTATTTCTACGTTGTTGAAATTCAAATGTAATGTCCCTGTAAACAATTTTTCGAGTAGGAATGTTGATTAAAAAGTTGAAAACATTGCCAGTTTTGATTGGAAAACAATGATTTGGAATCTCTAAATATGTTGCCAAATTATGCTAAATACAATACGACTGGATAGGGGCTGTGCTTTATCGTCCTTGTTTTCACGAAGTGACGGTAGTGAGGAAAATCGTAACGCAAAGTGAATGCAATTTTTTTTCACTACCGTCACTTCGTGAAAACAGCGACGTTATGTGTCAACACTTTTATAGAAGGAAATTTGAGATATCGAATACATGTGCATGTATCAACTCTCGCCCACTACTGTTGTTTGAAAATACTCTACAGCCTCTCTATCCTAATTAAGATTGAGTAATGCAGCTCAAACATGTCAATTAGCTGAAAGCTTTCAATTTCACATCCATCTGGGGAGGATATGAGATCCAAGGAAATTCTTTCATTAGATTCAAACTAATTACAGATCACAGGATCACATGACTGATTGACCTAATTATCACCAGGAAATAATTGGAATTTCCTTATCAGCTTTCTGTCAACATTTGACAGTGCTATATCCCATATTTATCTGTCCCCATTAAAGGCATCGTTTAAAGATGAAGTTGAGTTCTGGTCATGCGATTGCATTGTGAAAGAAACGGTGTGGAACCGACCAGAAAAGGTTGATCGTCTAGCATATAAGAATTTGTGTGTATTGCAAGGTTCTGGAATCATCAAAAATGATAAGAAATTTGGCCAAGTCTTGGTAAAGTTACAAACACTGTACACAGAAAGATGTATATGGGACTACACGAACACGTGGCGTAAAAAGCCGGCCCCCGATTTTTACGATATTACATGCATATCTAGAATATGAAGGCATTTGAAGAGCCATGCTTTTCAGGGAACATGTATTATCTGATGCTCTTCCACACTTGCATAATAAGAATGAACAACGCTCACAAATTATTTTTCACCTCTTCCCAGAACTCAACCTTCTCTTTAACAATGTTAAATCTGAGATGCATGTCCCTACGTCTTATCAGTGTCTGTGACATGGTGTAATATTGAAGCCCTACAAAAATTGTGATTCAAAATGATCATGAAGTGCCTCAAAAAAGTAGAAATCTTTGAGTGACTGGTTTTACCATACGCATTTTCCCTAACAGACTGTAGTGTTATAAAAAAACTGTTAGGAAAACGCAAAATTTGATTTTGATTTCTAATCATAAATATCTTGATAATAAGACAGGAGCTCAGCTTGTAAAAGTCATGGGGTTCCTGACTGACCCACAGGTATACAATCATCATTGAAGCATGAGCTAAATCCAGGATTTTGTTTCAGAATCTGTCGTCCCAACCCAACAATTGTGAATTGTTCTTTTCAGTGGATGTTATTTCTGGCAAACTTTGTCAGTTTACTTTTATTTAAATGGTCTCGATCACTAACACATCTTCTGCAACATAAACAATTAAAAAATGTCATGACTTTGAGCACGCTTCCTCCAAATGGAATTCAATTGAAATGGATTTCCATTTAATACCAGAAGTCAAGATTAGATTCATGAAATTAGAATTTAAAAAATGATATTCTGAATGGCACCACTCATTTAAAAATAGATTAAAAGTACTGTAAATACAAGATACTTTCCTTCATGACAACCATTTCCTTCCTGTGAAACTTCAGGATGTAAAAACTACATGTGGCTACACGTGTATGTTATTATTAATCAGTTGTTTGGCATGAAACTATCACTAATCTAGTTATCACACTAAAATGTTGGTTTAGGCCATTCAAAAAAAAAACATGCTTAGCATCCTGCCATTTTGAAAAATAGGAAGGAGGAGGCAATTTTTTTTCTTCATTTTTTCCCTTCAAAATGGCAGCTCTGTACATTTCCCTGATAGTCAGACTATTTTTCAAGATGGTATCTAAAAAAAAAAAAAATTAATAAGAAGTTTTCAACAACAAACAAAATATTTTTTTTAAAGAAGAATAAAAAGGGGGCACCCTGTATTTTTTAAATGGCCTTCATGGTACTCTGCTTTGTCCATTAAATTTGTAATCATTTTTTTTAACTTACCCACATTCTACCAAGATCTTTTAGATGGTCTGTATGTTCTCGAAGCTGCTTCTGAGCCTGGAAAGACAATACAAAAGACATATTCACAATTTAGTTGCTTTTTGCTATCTACATGTATGACATAACTGGAGCTGCTACTAAATCAACTCATAAATCAATTTTGAGGGAAAGAATAAACTTCAGTATTGGCTGACTGATGGTGCCATCAACAGATAGAAATCTGAACAATTCTTACAGTTGTACACAATAGATACATGTACATTATGTGAACAACATATACTGTAAGACACTTTAAACATAAACAGTTGTCAATAGGCTAGGCAACTATGCATTTTTGCTTTTAATATCAGTTCATTTATTGGGTACAAGAATTGTTTCTGTCTCTTCGCCAATTTAATTTTGAGTAAATCTTTATTTCACATCCATTATAACACAACTTAAAGATAAAGACAAGTTCTGGTCATGTGATTGCATTGTGAAAGAAACGTCGTGGAATTGATCAGCAAAGGTTGATCATCTAGCATATACATGTAAGTGTTGGTGTGTACTGCAAGGTTCTGGAATCATCAAAATGATAAGAAATTTGGCCCAGTCTGGGTAATGTTACAAGCACTGTACACAGAAAGATGTATATGGGACTACGCTACAAGTGTGCGACACATGTGTTATATCTATCAGATCCAAATAGATATAATATTTTACCAAACATATTAATTAGTAGGCGGTTTCTCAGCAAAATTTGTATCATTACGTATTAGTCAAAACATATTCTTTCACATGATTGGTAATAAAAGCTGCCATTTCATTTTTTGAGAGGGGGGCATTTCCAAAACTGGTCTTTACCTTTAAAGGAGGCCTACATGTACATTTATGTGTGAAGAGCATGGCGACTTAAAGCTATAGGCCAACATACATGTACATGCATTGAATTTATTCTTTATCCCAAATAGTTTTCACTGTATTCAAAACAGTTCTTTATTCAAATCATTTCTCCACAGTATAGTTACATGTACAGTATATACAATGTACATGTATGTAAATCTGTGATAGTACTACAAAAAGCCTGAATCACTCTACGACTCAACCAAGGTCAGTATTTTAACACCTCTTTTATTATTTGCCGTCATCACCATGACCGGATCACTGAACTGGGGTTATTCAGGTCAGCCCGTAGAACCGTACGTACACACGTGTGGATGCAATTAGGAGCCATAGCAGACATAATTGGGTGCGCTGTAATGACAGGCTACCGGAACTGTTCTGTACTGCGCAATTCAGCCAAGCCAAGTACAAGAGCATGCTTGGAATACGTTCTGTGGGATTGTCCTTGGCTTTGCATGTGCTGGGATAGTTTCAGCATGGACTTACTAGTGTAGTAAGTCCATGGTTTCAGCTATACAGGCTTACATGCATGTGCAATATGGAAGCCAGCCAAAGCCAGTATCATGATGGTGTACACAGTTTATACATGTATTGCTTCATGTATTATGTGCATGTAACATTATATGTAAGACCCCCCTCCCCCCCCCCCCCCCCTCCCCCCTCATTGTTCAATTCAATTATATCCCAATTTTACTGATTAAACTCCAAACAAATAGGATCATTCTCTTTTTTTAAATTTGTGTATAATAACATTGGACAACAAATTTTGTTTCAATAGTCTTGATCACTACAGTGTAACTCATCATCTGAAACATTTAAGCAATTCAGAATGACATGAACTTTGATGAACACGTACATGACAGAAAACTTTGAGGAAAATAACAGTGTAGTGTGCACATTAAATTATTTCTGGTATTGGAGAGCTGTGACTTTTTTTTATTTTTTTTTTACCTGTGTACAATTACACTGTAATATGAAAGCCAGAAGTATACCGGTAGGCTGTATTTACATGAAGATATTAAACAGATTGACATATACAAATGTACAATGATGCCATACATGTAATATATTTATAAAAAATTTGTATCATGCAGCCAAAATCTTTGTGAAATCAACAACCCATAATAATTGCGTTTATGATTTATGAACAAAGACATTTAATCACAACCCTGCAATTAACAACGAGCCCCATTATTTGTGATGTGTATTTCTAAAATCATATTTGGCATAGGCTGAACAATTTGAAGGTTGGCGGGAGACAGAATTATATTGGGAGATCACTACTGATTGTATGTGTATGGTAATCTTGAAAAACATTGTTGATTGTCTTCACTCCACATTAAATTTCTTGCCCTAATTGTTCAAGGTTTAAACTTGATCCTCTGGCGAAATGTTCTCTTTTTACACAACATACAAGTAGTTGTGTTCATGTAGAATAGGTCAATGTACTATTATAGGATAGGAAGGAGTGGCAGCACACAGGGAATTCCCCTTGGCCTCAATTGACCTCCGACCTCTAGCAGACAATTCACTTTTGATTTCTTCTCAGAGACCTCAACAAGTCCCTGTACACACATTCAGCCTCAGGTTGTTACTAGTCTGCACCCACAGACACTAATATGATACAGAAACACAATTCCATAAAGCCTTTAGCACAGCCCAACCCTGTCAGTCTCTGACTGTGCTGGGAGCAACCAGAGTACAGAGCCTGTGGAGAACAGTGGACTGTGCAGTCAGTTTTAGTCTCACAATTCAGACTTTGTAAATTTTGTTAAGCACTACAACTGACAAGGGTTTGCGATTGCAGACTACATGCACCTAGTATGTGTAACTTGCCTGTCAATTATGACATGCTGTTCAGGCAGGTAGCATGAGTCATTCTTTCTTTGTGTACACTTTATTGGCATGGGGGGACTGTGGGAATTTCCACTCTCACTCACTGGCCAAATAACACAGATTGGCCCGAATTCACAAAGGTTTGTCGACTAACCAAGGTTTTCGTGCATCATATGACGCGTTTCGACTCGTTCTTTACAAACCAGGTTTGTAAAAACCGTGTCAAAACTAAAAACCTATGTGTAAGCAGGGCTTGTAATAAATGGATTCCGCATCTAAGAGGGCCCTTTGAAGCAGTCCGTTGCACCGAGAGTCTTTTTTCCCCCTATCATAATCCCGTTAATCCCCCACCCGGACCGCACAGCTCGTAAATCTCACTCCCGAAACTGAGTGACATAGGGCTCGCGAAATGCATTGTTGGAAATACACATCGGCTGCTATCGACAAAAATGGCGGCGTACAGTAGGGAAGAGTATTTGGTAGGCGACGATTTAGACTTTCTGACTGATTTTGAGGAAGATTTTCTTGAGCCTGGTGTATGGGAAGTTGGAGACCAATACAAGTTATGCACGTGTGAAATTCCATCAACGGAAAATCTTATTCGTTGCAGCGAACCAGAATGTACGGTTAAATGGTTTCATCGTGAATGCGTAGGCCGCTCCATGTAAATAGGCAGCATTTGAATACATGAATAGTCAATACACTCACAACATACAGTACAAATGCACATAATCATCCCGATGCGGTTGATCGGCAAGTTTGACAGTAGACTCACAATTTTAATTTTTAAATTATTCTTTCTAACATCAGAAAGTTGAACAAATTGTATTTTAATGCTCTTTAGGTGTCATCAATCGTCACTATAGTACTGCCTTTGAATGAAATCAGTTGAGTTTTGTACAGTGGTGTTTGAAATGTTGAGAATCAATAGCACAACTTTCAATACACGGCCAGGGTAGAAATGCAGCTATGTGTGTTTCCACCAACAACATCCAGCATGTACAGCCCAGCGAGCACGGCGGCTTTCGCGTCGCCGGCCCGTACTCGGGGTGAAAAGTGGTGATGAATTGACAACTTCTAACCCTCATTAAACCAAATGCGCAATTATACAACACAGTTTCATTTAGTTATTTTAAGAGATAAACTTATGGACTACCTTCCTAGCTATGTAAAAATTTCGGAAACTTTCGGAAAATGTCAATAATTAGAAGAGAACGTGATGATGATGAGAAACTTGCATTCACTCTAACTCACGATTTCCTTGGTCGATTTCGCTGGTTCAGATGGCTACGTCTTCAGAAGAGTTATCCGAGCACAGCGAAAGCATTTGATAACCAATAGCAGGTTGCCTTGTGCCATAAGTTGTCGATTTTGTATTTTTGTCTGTTATAGCTATATACATCTTCAATGAGTATGACGTCATTTTCTCGGTGACTCGCATGGCTTCAAAGCCTTTTTTTTACGACCAAGTGTTTGGAGAGCTTAGGGAAGCAGGCCGCGTTGCGTAACACTTCGTAACATTTGGATCGCCAGAGGGCATCTGTGGTCTGATAAGGGCGGCTGTTGATGGATTTGATGGCTGAAGAGGGTTACATTACTTGTTGTTAAGCCAAGTTAATCTTGAATATCTTTCCCTCGGGAAATTCTTTCGAGACGGAATCTCCATTAAAGTCTCACCTCCCTGGTGTAAGGAATGAGCAGAAAGAAATGTGCATTTCAAATTCAAATGAATATACAGTCAAACCTGCTTTAGTGACCACCTGTCTACAAAGACCAAATTGTTTGTTCCCTAGAAAATGGTTTCTCATTGAAACATGTAATCTATACCTCAAGAAACATGTGAATGTGTGTCTGTCAGGGCAATCTATTTCAATATTAAAGAAAGAAAAAATCTGCGCCCATGGCCTGTGTGAAATTTGTATTCAATTGAGAATTGTATATTAAACTGGGCTGGGTTTATCGTCCGCATATGCTGATTTGACCAGTCAGTTAAATGTTGCACCCTAAAGCAATGTCCATGACTTATATTTAAAGATAAAGACCAGTTCTGGTCATGCGATTGCATTGTGAAAGAAACGTGGAATCGATCAGAAAAGGTTGATCATCTAGCATATACATGTAAGTGTTGGTGTGTACTGCAAGGTTCTGGAATCATCAAAATGATAAGAAATTTGGCCAAGTCTTTGTAAAGTTCAATACAAGCACTGTACACACAAAGATACACTGTATACTACGCACACATGTGCGACACGTGCGCATTATCTATTTGGTCCCAATAGATAAACTAATTTACCTAAACATATCACTTAGCAGGCGGTTTCCTGGCAAAATAGTTATCATCACCTATTTATAGTCAAAACATATTCTTTCACATAATTGGTATTAAGAGCTTCCATTTAATTTTTTAGAGGGGGGGGGGCATTTCTAAAACTGGTCTTTACCTTTAAAGCTGACACAAAACAGTGGTGTACAAAAGCTGACCTCCATAATAGTGTTTTCTTTATTATATGAAAAAAACCTTTACCATTTTCTTGTGGCCTCGTCCTTACCTTCCAAAATATATGTAAATCTTACGCAACAATCTTATCCAGTGTGAAAGCCACTGTGGCTAGTTCAATACATGTATATTTCTTTACACAATTTTGTAAAAACAACTCATCAAGTTTTCCCTTGTGCAAATGACCTTTTCCTCTCAATCTTTAAGTGTAAGATTTACATGTATTAATAGCCACTAGAACAGAACCTGATACAAGATAGAAGCCACTTTATCATTTTGTTTTCTTCTCAATAAACTTTCGACAAGTCTCTTCCTATTTCCTGGAGTGCAATTTCTTTTTCACACTAGCAAAGTTTCACGAAAATAGTTTCAGGATCTGAGCATACTTTTAATATATTAATACTGATCTTACATACTAGTAATTGCTGGGAATAACAGTTATCCCCCAACACAGATACAATACCCGGTATATAGACAAGTAGATAGAGAGATAGATAGATGGATAGAGAGATGGATAGATAGATACATGCTTAAGTTTCTTGCACGTACATGTACATGTACATGTAAATGCTTCTAAGTTTCAAGTATGGTACACTGTACAGAAATTTCATTTTCAACAGGACAATACCTCTTTAAAAAATACAATTGGTAGTTTTGCTTATCAAATTTGGCATGAGATGGAAATAAACCAAATCAGTGAACAAGAAGTGTAATGTAAACAAGCCTACAAATCAGCCACACTGCAGGATATTGATAACAAAACCTCTTTCATTTCCTATTCCTTCAATCAAAGTTCTCAAGAGGTTTTGAAAAGCAGATTTAGTTTTGTCTGTAAAGACAATCTGAAATCTATCCTCAGATAAAGATATTGAATGAAATTGGTATTCTATTCTCAAGTGAGCATGATACAAGTACCACATTTCGTACATTTACGTGTACTTAAAAAAGTTGTCAGATTTCTTGTCTACAATACAGAGAGTGGACGAGTAATATGTTAGATTGTACAATATACATGTACATGTACATTTGCATGCTAATAAATACAAGGATCATATCGCCGAAGATCCTACCATAAATACAAGGACAAATCAGTGTCTTTCACATGCACACACACAAATCATGCAATTATGCAATGTACATTTTAAAGATCCATACTGCAAACATACTGTGAGCAATAGAATATGAAATAACTGTTTGAACTTCGGGGTAGTGGTATAATTCATGAGAAGATAACTAAGAAAATATTGATTTCAGAACCTAAACAAACTCTTCCATACTTTTTTTATATAAAACTGAATTTTAGTAGTTTTATGCCCATTCAGATATACATGGAAGGCAATAAATAAATATATGTATCCATACTGCAGACATACTGGTAGCAATAGAATATGAAATAAGTGTTTGAATTTCAACCTACATGTAGTAGTGTAATTCTTGAGAAATAATGAATATAAAGTAAATGTTGATTTAAGAACCTACAACTGTAAACAAACTCTTCTGTACAATAAAACTGAATTTTAGTAGTTTTAGGCCAATTCAGTTATGAGGCACAGGCAGTAAAAAGACTGCTAGAGTAAAACTCAAAGACATACTACATTTTGTAGGTATGTACAGTGCACTTTGTATTATACTGGGCATGTTATTTTACATAAATCTTCTAAAATCAAAGGTCTGTAGTGTACTCAAATTTAAACCCGAAGCTGGGCTTCTGCATACATACACATGTATATATCTGTTAAACAAAGGAAATTAGTCTGAGGTCTGTAAAGCTTTCCTGTGTGCAACAAGATCTTAGACCCTGGATCGTGAATTAGAATAGGGGCTACAAGTACATGTGCACGGCTTTTTTTTTGGGGGGGGGGGTTAAAATCCTGTAAACCGCAGACAACCCAACAAGACCAACACCATACCGTCAAAAGATGGAACAAACACTATTAAACATTACTTTGAATGGCCAAGAATCGGTCGGTTTGGAGTCAGTCCGATCCGACCGTGTGACTGATGCCTCTTGCCATTCATTTACGAACAAAAAATGGAAAAGCGTTTGGTAAAGAAGGTTTACAGCATCAATGAATCAATCCTGAAATCCTGAATCCTACCAAAACATTCTTTTATATTAATGGATGTCTACTATTGACAGCAGAAAGAAAAGATGTCTTCATTACAAAATACAGACCTCCGTCTGTCCTACTTTACATACTTAGAGGTGAAATAACATTCTAAGGCTGCGTTCATGCTTAAATTTTGAAGGCAGAATGAGCGATCTGAAACGCTCATCGTAAACGCTCATCATGATCGCAGTTCCACGATGTAGTGTTCATGCTTACTTCTCTGGCTCCCCCAGGCAATTCTCAGTGTGTGGCCTTAATTGGTCTTCCAGCTGGATTCGCAAACCTTCACTGTGCATGCTACGTAGACCCACTAGAGGTCAGTGCGTTGACCCCATTTAAACGCGTTTACAAATTGTAAACGCATCTTTTTGTGAGTTTACGATCGGCGATCGTGATCGCCGTTTTTCGGTGATTCTACAAAAGTGAGCATGAACGCAAGCGTGTTTTAAACTAAACGCGTAACAGATGCCTGATTCTGGCCGTCAAAATCAAGCATGAACACGCCCTAAGTTGTATGACCTCTCTTGTATGAAAACTATGAATGAGACTGTATGCAACAAACTGCATGCGACTGTGCACTTATTGTCAATATTCTGGGAAACTTGTTCTGCACTGAAACATTTACTCTAATATTGAGTAGTTGTGTATATTCAGTACCTTAAAAAACACCCCAAAACTATGACAAAACAACAGAATTGTAAAACATGTATGCAGTCATAAAACATTGATCATTACAAATAGTACTGTAATTCAGTTTATAGGCCTGGAAACATGTATGATTCTGTTTGGACAGAAAATGGGTATACAATTGTACACCTAATGTACACCCAAAGTAGGCCTACCTGTACATTCATGTACATGTATTGTACATGTTCAAGTAGTTTCACCAATGTACATCAGAACCCAGACACAATCTTCAAGAAATACATGGTACACTTGTACTTGCTTTGCTTTTTTTGATAATATCTGTAAAATAGAAGAATATGTTTACCTCTTCATGCCCCTCTCTGAGCACCTTATGAAGGGTGTGGCAGAATTTCCAGCACACCACCGGGGTACCCTGGACCGGTAGCCTGCACACAACACTCCAGAAGGTCGACGCCCCCTTCTCCTGGAAGGTTCCGATGATGATGCCTTGAGAAGAAGCGTAGTTAAGGAAACCTAGAGTCACAATATTTCAATTACGTAGCAGGGAAGTGGTTGGGGGATGATACCCCTGTTAAACATGTTTTCTGTCTTCAACTGTTGAATTGTTAGAGCTTTTTTAGTGATTCAGGGGGGGGGGTAGAGGGTGTTGAAGGGATTTAACAAACCCACCCCCTCCCCCCTGCTTACTTTTCATTGAAAAATTGAAAGCAAATATTAAATGTTAAGATCTTGGTCAGCACAACAGGAAAAATGGATTACTTTCGGAGGAATGACTTATAAATTGCAAATGTTGGCAGATCTGGCAACTATTCTTCTATCCTTTTTTTATCATTAAAATATCATTATTGTTAAAAAAAATATATTGAAATAGTTTTTACACACCCTTGTATAGTGGACATGTTCTTGTATTTCATAATGCTGAGGTTGTTGACCTTTTTACCCTTGTCCTCATCAGAAATTCATTTTTTTTTAACTTCGATCCCTCTCTCTCTCTACATGTACACCTCCCCCCCCCCCATCCCCCCTCCCCCTCTAATCTTGAGCTAAAAATGACATCCAAATTTACCCATATATGGATGCATTTGTCTCAAGGATAGATTGAAAAGTTGAAATGTTGCCAATTTTGTTCCCTTTAATATTTCGCACTGATTACGACCCGAGCTCCCTGTACTGTAGCAAGCCATCGTCTGTTTTAGTCATTATTTTGGAATATAAATTCCTCGCGCAGCATTCTTGCAAATGTGTCTACCATACTACCTTCATATTGCAGCACAGGACTAAAACAGTACACTGTATACGTGATTATTGTCATCCTTTAGGTCACATACATACGTACACATACTGTATGTTTCTATCAATGTAGATTGCATGTGCATGTACATGTAGCTTCAAGCCAAATCGAGGCCCTGTTTCACAAAACATGTTTAATATAAAAATTAAGTTGCAACAACTGTTAAAGCTACTGATATCACTGCATTTGATTGGCTGAGAACAAATTTGTCATACAATTTTAGCTTCTTTTTTTGTTTAAACTTGAGAAGAACCTTTACTTGAAACAGGGCCCTCATTTGAATACAAAACAAAGGTCAGATTTCGGGAAGGAAAAGTTCAATTGTATAATATATCCTGATTCGATTCCATCATGTTTATGCAAGCAATCAAAATATCCTTTCAGAAAACATCATCCCTAGAAGAAAAAGTTCTTTCACTTTGAACTACACCTGTATAACAATGTGAATTCATCACAATATTTTTGTGTCTGTTCATGACACAAGAGACAATGTATTTCTTTGATTTCAAGTTTGTGAAATAAAAAAAGATAGATTGGGCAACTTAACTCCTAACATTGCAAGGAGGACTGCATAAAATCACACAAAGTTGCCAATGCATTATGATGAACTACAGTGTACAAGAAGTTGCTGCACCTTCTTAATAGCCAAGACTAGTTTGGCTTCAAAGTTGGCATGAAAGAAATTGTTTTTCCCTGTAATACCCTCCCACATAAAATGCATTGTTATGCATGGCAACGTCTGCAAAACAAAATTAACTTTTTTCCCTGGCATACTGAGCCCCATGCAGCCTCGTCTGGAATTGTCTTCTTCTTATGAGTCCGTCCAGGGTGACTCATCGAGGAGGGTTTCATGCACTTTAATAGCTTTGGCTCTCTTCATGAGAATTCTCATTAATACATGAATCCAATTTGTTGTCAATCACATGACAATTTGGGATTCTGGACGTGTTTTACGTTTAGAAGCTGAAAGAAAGGCCAACGATGAAATTATACTTTGCATAGATGTGTTGGGATTCTCTCAATGTGCAGGTTATTCAGTTTGTGACTTACATAATTTATCTTCACAAATTTACCATTGTCCACTATACTAATTTAGGATGCAATTTAACTCTCAAGGGATGTACAAATCATGGTCACAAATTTACATTTTTTGATAATTCATTATTGAAGGAAAAAACATAAATTCTGTAAATTTGTGACGTCCCTTGAGAGACCAATGATGAAAGCGACCAGTGGCATGAATGTCCTGCCATAGTTCAAGTCCAACTTAGGTCGATCTTATTCTTTGATACCCATCAGGAAACATTAAAATCCTACATCTACAAAACATGTACTTTTTTTTACTTCATAAATTTGTCATTGCCCACACTATTTTTCCTTTTAAATACTGTACTGCTTAAATTTTAATAGGATTCTTATTCTATACATGTGTTTTAGCTGATGAAAAGCCCGCAGTATAGACAGCAAATAAGTAACACAACTGCATGTTAGATATGTACTTGAATCTGACAAATGTGGTGGTCGTTTTAATCCTGTATACTATAATGTGTGTACAGATACAAGTAGCCACAGCTTCATAAATTTGTCCTTGTCCACATAATTTCCTTCCGGACACTGTACTGCTTGTAATTCCTAAAGACATTAGTCATAGTATCTACACGAAGGCTGCTCATATATGTACATGAACAGTAAGCCCACTATTAAGATATGCAACTTTGTAAAAATGTACAAAATTCCCTGTCACCCTCCCCCATCTGGCCCATCATATAAAATGCATGGACACTTGTACAATCATGTAGATATAAGACAATGAATGATCTTGTAAGTGTTAAACACAAACAAACGTTCACAATGAATAACAACAGTATCTGTATTGAGATTGTAAAGGATACTTCTGACATGTTTCTCCTTGACTGGGACTTCCTGCGCATTGATTGCCTTGTTCACACTCGTTTGCTGCACAAAGACAAGAAAAGAAAAATCAATTAACACAATGAAATAAAGTTAACGTCTACGTTCATATTGTGATCATGTTAATATTTGTGTTCACACTTACATGTACATGTACAGTACTGTATATATTAATAATGATAATAATAATTATAGGCATTTTTATAGCACAGTCTACATGTATCTAGAAATCCTATTCCGAGGTGCATTAATTAAGTACTGTATTAAAAAATGTTAACATACAGTGTACATGTTCATAATGTACATTGTAGTGGCGCTGTTCCTACACAGAGGAATTAGTGAGAATTCAAATTTAAAATTTTGCCTGTGATTATAAATATCATTTTCATAATGTGCATGAACCAACAATTCTCACCAATCAGTTAAATGTACATTAATTCACAATTTGGATCCTGATTCGATAGACCTAATTACTATTATGTCATGCACACCTTTCAAACAAAATTTTGCCTAGACAACTCAACAGCTTGTCAGAGGCTTGTCTGACATAGCAACAACTAACATATATGCTAAGCGGATCCATCCATAGAGATGCCAATATTCATAGTAAGTGAATGATATGATTGGTAAGACCAAGGGTTAAGGAGAGAAACATACATAAATTAAAATTTATTTTTATAGCAAACAGCTCTGTGCTTCATGAATAATTATCACGAGTATTTGCTGTTAAAACATTGGTCACTGGAAGTAAGATACAATTAAGTCTGTTTGTGAATGAGTGTCAACAAACCAAAACCAAATAGTTTTTTGTTTTTTCTAGTGTGCGAAAGATCTACATGTAATGTGATCATGCTGGGGAAAAATATTAATACTGTTCAGTACCTAATTTAAAGACCTAATTAAACATGACATATATTTACAGTATCTGTGCATAAATTAAACATCTGGAGATTCTGGACAAAAGGATGATTCTGTGAATATGAAATTTTCGCATTTACAACTGTACAAAATATAACCTGTTATCTTTTAATTCATTAACAACGAAACCAACAACAAAATGGGGGGGGGGAGAGGAATCACTGGATATGCCTACGGATTGATGAATATGTCTGGTTATCACTTCATTGTATCTACAGTACTACATGATCTACCCTGTATATTTCCTATCAATGATGTCTATTGTCTACAATCATAAGGGTAGAGGGATTGTCCGTATGCAATACTCCATACATGAACATTGTATACAATACAGTTAACTACCCGGTGAAATTATTTTAACCCCTTGCAAATTTGATGTTTTATGTTTTTTTTTTCTACATCTCAAAAATAAAAGGTGGACTGGTTGAATTAGGGTATTTGTTGAATACTTTTAGATTGTAAGCTTTAATATTTCATATTCACAAGAAACATAAATTTTTAGGACAAATCAAGTTTTCAAGTTAATCATTTTTTTTTTTTTTTAAAGAAAAACTTAGGAAGGAGATGTATAATGTACATGTAGTTGTTGACTATACATGTACGTGCAGAACTACTCAAAAATGTTAATGTGTACATGTACAGTATATGTGTACAGTGTACATCATGTACCCAAATAGCTAGGCCTAAATCATGCATGGGATGTGGTTACGCGTGTCAAGAATAAAGCAAACATGAATGAATGCAAAATACCCTAGATATCGGTAAAAGTGTAAATACATGAAAATACTGAATGAAATTATAACAATGTATAAATTCTCATCAAAAGGCCCACACTGTAGATTTTGTATGTCTTGCAGTTGAAGGTGCAGGTACAAGGTGAACTGCTCATGGACTTGCACATTTTTAGACAAGCATACTACATTGAATATGTACATGTAAGCCTAATTAATGTATACGTTCTTCATTAATCATGTATGTACACTAACAGTATCAAAAATAGATATGACAATTTTATTTGTCAATGACCGGCAGGTTGCGCTCTCCTTATCTCTTATTTTCAAAGCACTCTGCAGATACTAACAAGCAGTCACACAACACGGTAGATCTAGTACCTGTACTTGTAATGAACAAATATAGTCCTGCGGCGGTAGACGAAAAATAGACAAGTGAAGAAGAAATAATGAAACAACCATTGGAGATACAAAACGCATGAATTTTGGCTGACGTATTTGCTAAGTAATGACAAAGGCAAAACAGTTGCTAAGTGCACACAGTTTACATGTAGAAAGCAGAGAGGACAATTAAGTCTGCTAGAAAAGGCTGGAAATGAACATTATACATGTACATGTACATGTATGTTAAATGTACCTACAGTACATACATACTACAGTACATGTAAATGTACACTTATTTCACATGCATGTACCTGTAGGCTGATTTTATCTTTATACCAGGATCGTACACAATCTGTAGGTCTTTATAAATAGGTCTTTGATGGCCACCTGAACAATAGATAAAGTAAATAATCAAATCCAACAACCCCTATGGTACATAATAAAACAGTCAACATTTACATACAAAAATTCGTCCAAAAACTCACAACTTGTCGCTTTCTTCCTGAGGAAAAGACACCTTCCATTAAGCCTTCCATTATTCCAACTTTTCCTGGATCAGAACAGGATATGAACTGCACAAACTAGCTACCAGCAGAGATTTTACAAGTCCATGCAGATCAAATCTGGTACAGGATTCAGCATTGTACAATGAACATACAGCTAGCTTCCAGCCAAGAGTTATAGGTGGTGTCAATTACTACCGGTCTATTCAGAATTCAGAGTCCTCCCATATATTGGTTTAATTAATGCATGGTCAAAGTACAAGCCTGCCTCCTGAGAATGCACCATTGTTTACCTGAGATGCAAATATTTAAGGACTGAATAATTGATTCAGTCAACAATTACATTGTACCTTTACATATTTTTCTTAAACTGCAAGAAAATTCATACATTGTGGATGTTCCAAGCCAAAAGATTATTCTAAGGTGTATTTTTAGAAAGAAATTTAGCTCACCAGTATTTAAGAATTTGTATAAACAATGTAGTGAATGTACCCATAAATAACTTCCGGATAATTGGGCATTTGGTATCTTCACTATCTTGGCATCAACATTGGGTCGTAATCACATTTTAATGCCAATTGGCTTTGCTACATAAACTAGTCCGTGGGGGGTTTCTGCAAACAAAAACAGTGGAGGCTCCACTCCACAAATCCAGATCAGATATCAACCCATTGAAGCTTTGTTCACATAAATGGGGCTGAGAGATAAGTAGCCTACAGTCAACATTTCAGAGCCAAACTTTTTCTAACTCTATACTGTACATTTATTGCTGAAAACTGATGTTTACTAGTACGCTAATACATGTACAGTACAGTACTTAACATATTTTTCAGATTTCTGTTTGAGAAGCTGTGCCAGGGTAAAAAGATAATGCAACTGTGACCCAGTATATTCATAAAGTCTATAAATTTTAGTGAGCCCCCCCCCCCCTCCCCATCCCTCCCCACAAAAAAAAAAAAAAAAATCATGGGATTTCAGATTAGTTGACAAATAGCAATTTATCAACCATTTCAAGCTACTGTACAGTTTCTTTCCCCATCTTCTGGAAAAAGTGTCTTAAAGGGATAGTTGAGTTCTGTTGCAGACGGAGGGCGCTACACAAAATAATTTTTTGTGAGATAATTAAAAAATGAGTGTCAAATTTGAAAGAACGTAATATTTAAATGACAAAATCATCTTTGTTTGATCAAAGTCGGTTCAGAGATGGCTAAAATATAACGATTTCTAATACTTGTGTACCACCACAAATATTAGATATTTTGACAAATTTAAAAAAAAAACATTGAAAAAACAAAATAACGCCTTTTACGTCGTATTTAAGCCAATGCCGATGTTGGCATTTTTGTTGGCACTTTCTCGTTGCTTATATTATGCAGATTAGGCCGGCCCATGTATTGTTATTTTTAATTAAATAATTAACTAAGGGTCACCATGTTTTTTTAAAAGTGGAGCTGAAATGTATGCTTGTATTGGCTAAATTTGACACATGTTGGGGTCTAAAATTACCTTCATAGCAATTTTAGGTTCTGCAAGGGCACTAGAAATGGCATACATGTAGATAAGAATAAGAGCAATAACCATGCACTTTGAAGGCATTTGCGGTCTGAAAACAAAACTCAACTACATGTATCCCTTTAATAGAATGAGACATAAAAAAATCATTTACGTCCAGACCAAGGATGTACAGTAGATGTACATTTCAAATCAAACATATTTTATTTGAACAGTATGTAAAGCCAGCAGACTGTTACATGTACAGTATGTGTGATGAACCTCTGTGAGAATAGACCAGTTCACGGTTAGCACATTACTGCAATTCATGACCCCGAATATCCACAGATTTTTTAAAACATGAAGAGGTCCCACTTTGTACATTTTGAAGGTGCTACATAAATAGCCTTTGTTTCCCCTTTTCGAAGAATACTTCCACCTGTGTATCATGAAGTGCATAAATAAATAATGATTACATAACTTTCTTAAGCACGTTTCCAGTATTTCTTCTCCATGTATTTCACAATTTGTTCTGCAATGACCTTTATCTGCTCATGCTCAGACTGCAACCATGAACTGGCTTATAGAGAGAAATGACAGACTCAAAAGAGCTCTTCATGGATTTGGGTTTAGTAAAAGACTAAAAGTGCTACTTTCTTGCAGCAAATTTTGTGGATTTTATTAGTTTTTCGAATAATTTGTTATCAAAGCTCTTTTGGAGGTTTCCAGCTATGGTAAATTGCAACCTGCTCTTGAATACTTTATTCCTGGACTTTGCACAGTACTGCATCCTCCTAGTAGTATACTAGTACATGCATATTAAATTTTCGTCCTACAATACAATCTAATAAGATAATTTGTAGGAAAATTGGTCCAAGGCGAACTAGATTAAAAAGACTCAAATTTCAAAGTACATGTAGAGAGTTATAGAGGATACATGTATAAGTGTTCCCATCTCTCTCTCTCTCTCTCTCTCTCTGCCTGTCTCTGTCTGTCTCTCTCTCTCTCTGTCTCTGTATGTCTGTCTGTCTGTCTCTCTCTCTCTTTCTCTCCGTCTCTCTGTCTCCCTCTCATCTGTCTCTCTCTCTCTCTCTCTCTCTCTCTCTCTATCTTTCAATCTCCCCCCCCCCCCCTCTCTCTCTCTCTCTCTGTCTCTGTCTCTCTGTCTCTCTCTCTATGTCTCTCTCCCTCTCTCTCTCTCTCTCTCTCTCTCTCTCTTTCTCTCCGACTTCCTCAACTATTTTAAGGTGTGCTGACATTCACTCATTTCCCCTCCTTCCTTCCCTTGTCCACTGGCCAGGTTGATTTAGCCTGTCTGCAAGGAAATTGGTTGCGAACAAAAATCCCCACTAGTTAGTTAGAGTGCATTATATTAGGATGCTTTCATAGGAACAGTGAAACCAGAATCAGGAATATAATTTGTTGATTTGAAACCTAAAATATGCCTAAATATGTGGCAACAGTTTCATTAGCAAAAAAACTAAAAAGCATCATTTCATTTATAGGGCATACATAATGTATAAAGTGTATGCTAGTCTACACCAAAAAAGTTCAGACCTACTCCTACAAGTAAGTGTTACAAGTAAGGAGTGACAAGTGTTACTTGTGTTTTTTGCATTTTGGATGTACATTCACAAGATATCAAAAGCCTAGTTTTGTCTAAACTACAGATTTCCAAAAGCACTTGTAGCGGCTCTTCCATTCGCCTTACTTTTATCGTACATTCATGTTCACAGTAATTTCCATCACATCACGCTACTTATTTTTATTCAGTTATTTGGACCATGTGTGTCTGTTTATTCAATCATACATCGTGTTTCCGCTCACTCGTTCACCCACGTTTTTCAATGCCCGCTTCCACCTTGGTCGAGTCAAGACGTCTCCATGATTTCTTCTCCGGGCTTTATTCTTCCGTGCCTTTCGCCTCTTTTACGGCACGTCACTTCTTTCTCTGCCGTCTCTAACGGGTTGGCATATCTTCTAGTGGAACGCTTTAATCAGGACCCGACATGGCGCTTGATTCTCCGCTGGGAGCTGCCAGTTTCTTCGTTCCGGTAGCTCTTTCCACTCACGAGCTCGACTCACCGTAGTTCATCTATCATTACATCAGCGAGTTTGACTCACTGCAACTCTGATGATTTTCTCTATCAAGATATCAAAAGCCTAGTTTTGTCCAAACTACAGATTTCCAAAAGCACTTTTTAAAATTGTGTCATATAATGGAAGCAGTTAAAGATGTTTGAATTCATAATAAATGCAGGCATTAAAAAATGAGCTTATAATATCACCCCTAACCCCCATATTTAGGGGGAAGGGGGGCATTGAGAGAGCATTCTACAGTACTATAAATAACAAACAGCTCACAAATTCCTTTCTTAAATGTACAGTGTACATGTACAAGAATAACGATTCACATTTCAAGCATAAGTGTGAATTCTTCATTCACTTCCATTTCTTAAATTGAAAATGAACATTGTAAAAAAAAAAATTACAAACAGTTTTTTGTTTGTTATGGTGCCATCTTCTACAAGCCTTCTGTCAATGTGTACATGTACTGTACATTGACAGAAAAGTGTTAGTATCATGTTGACATGGTCTTCCTACTTCAATAGATTTTTATTAGGCCTATTCAATAACTTCAAACAAAGATTCTTCTCTCAGATTCTCATGACAGTACATGTAGATAACATCACACAGGCGCACGCCCACCAGCAACCCACCATCGGTATGCACTTGTATTGTGCAGCGGTTTGCCGTGAAACCTGTGAAAAAGCGTATACTAATATATCAATGTTTATCAAAAAAATACTCTAAAAATAACAAGAATATTGACTGTGTATAAGGCGCACAGGTACAGAATTTTTTTGTATTTATTTATTATTATTTTTTTTCTCCATTTATGGCGCTATGCCTGGCAATTCATCTCCCTGCTCAGTAATCAGTGTGTTGACTCACCACTCGGACTCTACAACAACACTCAAATTTGTCTGTCATCTTGGTTTGAAAGTAATCTTTCTAATAGGGTCTAGATCTCATCATCTCAATATGTAGTTTATAATAATAATTCCTCAAATTTGTTTTCTATAACAAATGGTGTACCACAAGGTTCTATCCTAGGTACTCTATTGTTTTTTAATTTACATTAATGATCTTACACATTCTTCTAAAAACGAAATTGTTACTATTATTTGTGACAAGTTCACAAGCACAAATCAGCGCCTTCAACTGCACCTCGATGTTAAATGAAGGTCCTTCCCCGCCTGGGTTTTCGGCAACAAAACAACAACTACAAAAAACAAAAACAAAATGATTTTTTTTTTGCCCCTTAAAATAGGGGTGCGCCTTATACATGTACACAGAGATTTACGGAACTAATAAACATAACGACTTTTCTCATGATCTTTATTTGGACATTTAATGAATAGACTATTTACTTCATTTTGGGTATGTTTTAGTAGGGTATCTCCATGCCGGAGTTACGGGTCAAATTTTGGATAGGTTTCTGAACAAGCGCCGAAATTAGGATAAAGTAAAGCGTAGATGACTAGATCTAAGTTAGAGTCTAGAGTCTACACAGTGCAGTGAGTGACTAAACAAGTTCCACTTTTTACTAAACTCTTTACAGCTGGTTACCGTTAAGATGATAATCTGAAGTAAGCTAGATTTAGTTCTATTCTAAGATGACTTGATTAAAAAAACTAAAACAACTAAAACTGTGTCTCAATTAAAGATGTGTAGACTAGACTATGCCACTTTGTCTCCCTAATCAAGCCAGGCAGCGCGGGGAATGTGATCAGTTTTGTACCAGCACCTGCTCCCGGAACGTCAGGGGAAAAGATTACTCACCTGCCGTTTGATGAAATTTTGTCGCTCTGTTTCAAGGCTGTCTGTATTCCTCCGAACGGATGATAGCCTGCTTGATAATGAAGACGCCATTATAACGAATCTTAATCAAAAGAATCCAAGATATTTGATCAATCCACCTGAAAATGCTATAAAATATGAACAGTACCGTGAGGATCTGATGGTATTTCGATGACAGTTGTTGGATTAACTTACTACTACGTACGTTTTGTCTTCGACTTCGCCGATCTCTAATGTATTTACTGTATGTAGCAAGCTATTGGCCACTCGATAGAACAGCCTAGCTAAGACTCTGGCTAGTTCTTGTCGGAAACCCTATTTCGATCCGACGTAAATTTTCATTATTATCAACATATTACGGCTATTTGTTATTCTTCTCATTCTTGTCTTTAGTTTTTTAATAGGATATTTAAATATGTATCATTCACAAAAAACATTCAAATGGGACTACAGACTAATAGAAACGTTTTGACTTGACGATCTACCTACTTTTCTCTACTAAGAAAAACAAGTTTGATCATTTATCTCCATGGTTTGATCCTCCCTATATTTTAACGTTATAGCATTGATAATAACAGTTTTAATTATTATTCATATAAAAGTTCATAATGAATGTCTATTTCGGAGGATTAATGAGTGGCGATATATATTAATAAATCAAAATTGCATCATTTTAATTCCCCCCCCCCCCCACCCGAGTGAGTACAATACCTCCCGAAAATGTTTTACTTTTATTAAAAACAACTTTTTCTTCCCCCCCCCCCTTTTTTTCTCCCCCACCATGTATTAATTGAGTAATACGTACATAAGAAACACATACTGATATTCACACATAAAAAAAACTAATAACCAAGGTAGACTTCCCCTTTAATGAACATGAGGGCGGGGGGTAATTTTCATAGGGGGACGGGGTAATGATGAGGAGTGGGGGTAATTTTCCGGGGGGGGGGGGGGATTGTCCTCAGGGGGTGGTTGTCCTTGGGGAGTAATATTCCTGGGGTAGTTCCGGGGGGGGGGGGGTAATTTTTCAGGGGGTCTCTGTCCAAGGGGTAATTTTCCTTATACGGTAATTTAAATATTTTCGGGATGAAAAACCCGAATTTGGCCGAAGCCGCCCTTTTTCCTATGAAAAAAAAAGTTTCGCTAGGGCAGGGTTGTCGTCTCTTGCCCGTCCATGTGTAGGAGACAACATTAGGGGAAATGTTTCTTTTAAGCTGGTAGTGATAGCCTTCTTTGCTGATATCACAAAAACTATTTGGCAGAAGGAAATTATGAGAAAAAAAAAGTATACCCGTTTCTACACACTTGACATAACACTAATAAAATCCTTACGTTAAAAGTGTTGGTAAAAATGTCCACCCCGCACACATTATTAAAGAATAGTGTATGTACACGCAGTGAGTAATTTCTTTCGGAATCTTGGATAAATTGTAACGATAAACCATCAAAGTAAAGGGTTTTTTGAAGCCCCCGTTTCAGGAAATTAAGTATAATTATCAGCTTCCACGCATTATCCTGTCGAGGTAAATTTATACTTTTTTTTCACAGTGATACAATTATCTTATAATGTAGCCTAAACCTCATAGTCATATCTGACGTAACGGTGAATTGCCATTTGGTCTACAACAGTTTGTCTACTACTCAATTAGTCTATTCCCATAGCCTACACCCAGCCCGTCTACTATCCACATGGTCTCATAATCATTTGGTTTAATGACCATTTTAGTCTAAAATTCATTTGGTCTCATTTCCATTTGGTCTAATCTCCGATATGTCTACTACCCATTTGGTCCAATCTCCGTCTACTATACCCATTTAATTGGTCTAATCTCCAATATGTCTACTACCCATTTGGCCTATCACTCATTATGTTGGTCCAATTGCCAGTCGGTCTAATTTCCACTTTTTCTAATGCCCATTTTGTCTACGATCCATATGGTCTAATATTAAACATTTCATAATATTGTATAATAGATCTATATAATAATCATCAAATTATTATTTTACCTTATGGATGGTATATACGAAATGTGCATCAGACAAACTTGCAATTAGACCGAATGGGTGATAGAATAATGGACTGATTAGAAATTAGACCGAATGACTATTAGCTTTACTGGTCATTAGACCAGATGATAAGTAGACGAAGTAAACGGCAGTAAACCGACGAAACAAATATTTACAACTGAATCAAAGTAGGGGCCTATAACGTTTGAACCAATAGCCTAGCGCAATAATTATCTGTTGTACCGAGTGGCTAATGACAAGCGCCTTGTATTAGTGTGCAGGCACAAATGAAATCAAACCATTCATAAATTCGTAATGTCTAACAAAATGTTGGACAGTAAGACTGTGAAATTCATCGCATAGGATCCATGTTATTACTACAGACAGCATGATATTGACAAAAGTAGACTAGACTTCAGGCGGAGCTATCATGCTTTATAGAATGTTGTTACATTTCTAATAGAGTCTGCGTTTATAGACTAGTTATACATTGAAGAGGGTAGTCCCTATATTTTGAAAGAAATATTTTAACAGCAGTTTACGAAAGTAATGATGATCATAGGCGCCTGAAGTGGGGGGGGGGGGAGCAGGGGGGGGGCAGTTGCTCCCCCTCCCCCCTCCAAAAAAAAGAAAGAAATGCAGTAAAGGAGTAAAGATGGTTTGTATTTTCAACCCAAAAGAACATAACAATAATAAAACAGGAATTAAATCACATACACGAAATTCCATTCAAAGAAAAGGAAAGTTAACAGGAAGTCAATTTCCTAAACATTCCGCATGCCAACTATATATTTATCAATGGAGGTTTTTATAATAGCAATACGCGCATATAGTGGAAATATTGTGAGCGTATGTATTTTTTGTTATAGGGGTGAAAAGACATGAGCCCCTGAACGCTGGTTTACTGATTGGGGGGGGGGGGGTATTTCACATTCGATACCAGTGATTTACAAATGTTGCTGAAATGACATGATTTTCCTGGACCCCACCAAGGGCCCTAAGACGGGCCCCTGGATGCTCATCTGACCATGATTAAATACGTAAAACCCCTGAGCTTCCGGGGGCTCTGCCCCCTGGACCCCCCATCAAGGGCCCTAAGGCGGGCTCCTGGATGCTCATATAACCGTAATTAATACCTAAAACCCCTGAGCTTCCGGGGACTCTGCCCCCTGGACTCTCCGCCAATTATAGTGACCTAACAGTGTCACAAATAAGGTATATAAATATGCTTATCTGACCGTAAATTAATGCCTAAAAGCCCTGTGCTTCCGGGGCTCAGCCCCTTGACCCCCTGCCGGGGCTTCCAAACGCTTTTGCTCATTACGCCACTGCCCCTGGAAGGTGAGCCCCCTGGAACGTTTGCCCCCCCCCCCCCCCCCATCCCAAACTGCTTCTGGCGCGCCTGATGATGATGACTTTTGTATAACATTTATCAATCATAACAAAACAAACTGTTAAAATATTTCCTTGCGAGCATTTTACATTATATAAAAGTAAGAAATTATGCTTGTGAGAAAGTCATTGAATATGGGAAATTGAGTAGAAATAGTCACAATAACATAATGAACATGAGTACAAAGTACAAATATTTACACTTAATACTTAGCAGTATGCGACAACTAATAACAGTATGCGACATTGAACATATTATGTTTAGTTAGTTTAGTTTAGTTTATTACTTTTCAGTTCATTGAAAAACATCAGATATAGCAATCATGACGAACAAACATGATCCAAATTGAGACCCCCAAAATCTATGCCTGTGAGTGGGGGCCCTGGGAAGGATGGACCTCCCAATCCCGGCGGATTGGCAAAGAGACCAACGCGTTTCAAGGATCTGCGCAATTAAAAACATATCATAACATAACATGTATTGATGGACAGATTACGAATATTGTGGCAGTTTGTTCCAAAGTAATGGACCGGCATGTGAAAAAGCCCTATCCCCCTATACTAGAAATTAATATGGTCCTTTTTTTTTTTTTTTTTTTTTTTTTATTTTTATAAATTTATGTTTTTATTAAACAAATCATCAAGAATCACAGTTTTTACAAAAGATTTACATGATAAGAATTAAAATCTTAAAACACCAACAACAACAACAAAAAAACAACAACAAAAAAAGGGCAGAATATTAAGTAACAAATTTAATATTGTTCAAGAACGAGCTCCGAGACGGAAAAAAGGTGGACTGAAGGATTGACGGTGGCACCAACCCTATCAAACAAGCAACCAATAATTGTAATATTAATGATCGTAACCTCACTGACTTGCAAAGACTTGAATATAGTTTTTTTTTTTTTTTTAAATCATTCCGCTACCCGACTCGGCTAGACCCAGCAAATCCTTCTATCTGTAAATAATGCTATGGCTGAGAAACAAAGTGCACGAGGTCAGGAGGTCACGCCAACACCAAAAAAAGTTGCGAGTAAATGTAAATCTCGGAGGTCGCCCTTGAAGTACATGAATTGGCACCTACAATGTAATGGCAATACTACAGCGTACACATATGGTCCTTTCTGCAATTGTACGGTATATTATGATCACAGAGTGAGTTTGATTATCTCTCACTCCTTTTTCTTCTCATTTTCTACCTTTTAAAGTATGATTTTTGCACAAGTTAGAGGAAGGACAGATAATTCGAGGATTATTTTAAAAAACCGATTCAAGAAATTAATGCAAGTGTAAATCGTCAGGGCTATTACTCAAGATTTAAAAGGAAATAAATTGAACGAAAGGAGAAAGAAAGAAAGCGGAAGAGAGAGAGAGGGAGTGGGAACTCGAGAAAGAGAGAGAGAGGAAGAGAAAGAGAGAGAGAGAGAAAGAGAGAGAGAGGAAGAGAAAGAGAGAGAGAGCTAGAGAAAGAGAAAGAGAGAGAGAGAGAGAGGAAGAGAAAGGGAGAGAGAGAGAGAGAGAGAGGAAGAGAAAGTGAGAGAGAGAGAGAGAGAAAGGGAGAGAGAGGGGGAAGAGAAAGAGAGAGGAAGAGAAAGAGAGAGAGAGAGAGAGGAAGAGAAAGAGAGGAAGAGAAAGAGAGAGAGAGAAAGAGAGAGATAGAGAGAGAAATAGAGAGAGAGAGAGAGAGAGAGAGAGAGAGAGGGAAAGAGAGAAAGAGAGAGAGAGAGAGAGAGAATGTGTGAGAAAATGAAAGAAACAAGAATAGGTGTAAGAAAGGAAGTAAAACAGGAAAAGAGAAAGACTGAGAAGGTTGCAGGATAATGGTTAAGACGCTGAGATGATAATCAGGATCAGTGAAAGTTGTCGAAATCCTATTTTATTTCTATTATGACAAATGTGACTTTCTGTGAAATTGTAAGAGCACATTTTTATTTTTTTTTTACGTGTCCCAAAATTTGAAAATTTGGCCGATCGATATTTCGTTTCGTTGGGGGGGGGGGGGGGGGGGGTTAAGGTCGGCTTTTGGGTCACCCATTACCACATTTTTTTATTTTTTTTTAAATTGAAGGGGGGGGGGTCTCCAAAACACACACATTAAAAAGTTTAAGGGGGGTTCAACCCCCCCCCCCCCCCCTGCGTACGCGCCTGATGGCAAGATGTTGAAATATGAAAGCAAATAATTTTGGTAATTATTTCTTATGAAATAAAAACGTAATATTATTCTTACATTAACATACAATTCATAGATTGGTAAGACTTTTAAACTTTTAAAAATATACTATATGAGCGTGAAGAATGTGATATTACTCTGACGACTCTTTTTGTAGTTCTGATAATCTATCTAGAAGATATTGCACGATCCCCAATATAATTATGTTACCATAGTTCAAATGAGGTATGATTGTATAACATCAATAAAACATATTTAGGTACAGTACTGACTCAATTTGTTTATAGCTTCGAAATTTCTGGATATAAGATTAAATGTTTTGTGATTTCCATGTATATCTTTGTCAATAAAAATTCCCCCAAAATGAACAGTTTTGACTCGTTGAATCGGAGCATTGTGCACGTTTATGTATATGATTATCATCAATATCTTTATTTTCAAATACCATAACAAAATTAGTTTTTTTTTTAACATCCAAGTAGTACTACTTTATTGGCTAAAAAACAATGTTTACCTTATCTAAAAGTTCTGAGTTCATAGTCTGTCCCAAATAATTAAAATAGATTGTTAATAAGTCTTAATAGTCCGTGACCCACTTCACTGGTTCTTGGGGGCTCAGTAGCCCCTCAAATTTCTAACCCGGCTAAAAAAAGAGGAGAAGAAAAGTTATGGAAAGAAAATGATATAGAAGGGGGGGGGGGGGGACTTAGAGAAAGAAAACGACAGAAAATGGTGGGGGGGGGGCTGCATGGCCGGCAAGAGAAAGCATCTTTTCCACCTATTTCTTTTGTTTTTACCGGCTCTGTTGCGCTTTTTTTTTCTTTCTTTTTTCTTCAATCTATAGATTCTAGAGTATACACCAAATTTCTTTTCGCACCGAACTTCTCCTATAAATTCGAGTCTCAAAAGCTTTCCCCATTGGATGGGAATATAAGGGGAAGGGGGGGGGGGCATGATGACTGACGTCTTTTGCCCAGCTGAATATGAACACCTCTTATTTTTATACATTTAAAAAAAAAAAAATTAAATTGTAGATGCCAAAAGGAAAAGGAATTAAAGGATGATGCTAGATGATTTCCGATTTTTTTATAATTTCGAAATTATCGGGGACGGGGACCGGGGGACTGGGGTGGTCAAATATCAAAATGTTGTCAGGATCTGGATGGGAGGGTACGTAGTCCTTTCCAGGGCCGTAGCCAGAGTTTGATGTGTTTTTTTTTTTGGGGGGGGGGGGCACATTGATCGACGTCCTGGGGATGGGTTTAAAAAGTTCAACCGATCTTGGGAATTTTGGGGGGCATGTGCCCCCCCCCCGTGTCTACGTACCTGGTCCTTCCACTTCTATATGCATATATATATATATATATATATTTTTTTAATTAACTTATTCATAACATAATGATAACATATAGCTAGGGTCTATACATAATTTGTCATAATATTACAAAACATTGGAGTTACATTTAATCAAATATATAATGACAGATCGCAACTTTCAATTTCACTTTCATATTCACATTGATATCGAGATCGACAACTAGCGACTAGATATTGACTTCAATTAATTATAATTTATTATAATTTGAGCGCGTTATGTTGGCATGGAAATTGAGGAGCGTTTACGTTTATGTGCTTCCCGGCGAAGATTTTACGTTTAGATCTGAATAACATTTTAGTCAAGAGATTGTGGTCTTAGGTAAGAAGGATATATTCTAATCATGATGTTTCGCATAGATTTATTTACGATGTCGATGAGAATCGAGAAAATGTGGAATTTCTTCGGCTTCTGTTCTGACTTTGTGTGCTTTGCGAGTTGGTTGAGCGGTTATGCTGTGGTAGATATTGCCCCATATGTTGAGATATATGTATGGTGATATCACTGATACTAGAGATGGTTCCCATTGCATTGTTGCATGTGAGTGTGAGAGTTTTCTGTTTCGATTGCGTCGGTATACTCAGGGTTAACTGTACCAACGTTTTGATTTGTTTGGTCGTGGTTGTGCTATGGAAGGAGAGGTATTTCACATTTTAAGTTTCTGCTTGAACACTGCACTGGAGGTAGACATTAACTGTTTCCTTCTTGAGACTTGAGTAAGTTCCATTCTGCTGCTGTCCTGCTGTTTGATGTGTTGAAGGGCTTCTGTAACTCTAATAGTTAAACCAAAGGAGAGGTCATATAAATAGTAAAACATTATTGGTCAAAATGCAAAGCCATAGCATATAATTGGGTGTGCTTAGCCTAGAATCTAGATTAGTACAACTACAATTGTACAAATAGTACTAGATCATTAGATCTAATAATAGGTCTAATACTGCCCATAATTCGTGCAAGATTTTGAAATCTCGCTGATTTGAAAATTTTGGTCCCTACAATCTGTAGTACAGTAAATATCGTGATCATCAAACTTTTATGACTGAATTTGTGTAGACCTTACATCAAGTTTGCACTGAGATTTCGATCCTTTGAAGTTTGAGTTTTGGCGACCAAGAAATGCACTCAATGAATACGAAGCCTTTCCAATTAATATTTTTAAAGTATTTTTTCTAGTTGAATATATTGTATTTTAATGCTACTTAAGTGTCATCAAGTATCACTAAAGTGCCTATTTTTAGTTTATTGAGGTGAGTTTTGTACAGTGGTGTTTAACAATTTTAAGAATTGATACTTGATAGAGGGTGTCTTAACATTTGTTAACAATTTATGCAATTATTAGGGTGTCTGAACGATTTTTCAATTTTCCCTTTTGGATCGTAGACAAGACTTCGGATTAATATTTATTATCATACAATGTAGTATTTTAAATCATGCTTTCTTGTTGACCCCTTTTAGCAGTCGACACTTCCATTCCACCCAACCTCGATATAATAGTGATGACAAGAAGTGAGTAATACTAGAGAACACATCATGGAGAACTACCATGTCTTGGAGCTTATCGGAGAGGGATCTTTTGGTAAAGTCTACAGGGGAAGGAGGAAATTTACAGGCAAGGTAAGTTGCTCTGCTGTTCATACGCCGCTGCACACCTTTTGACCAGACTAGATTCTGGAAGCTAATTCAATAGGATCAACTAATGAGTCATTTCTGAATTCACTCTAATGCAGATGCAGTGTACCTGATTAGCCAAGAATCTTCATACATTCTGTACCAGTTAAACATGATTGTCTTTCGACTAATAACTGATCTGGGACCCATTTCACAGAGCCTTTTTTCAATGAAAAATGACAAAAATCAGTGACAAATCTGCTGATAACCAATCAGAAGCAAGGATTTCACTTGCTTATGTAACAAAAACTGTCATAATTTGTCATTGATGACAAGTTTTGTGAAATGGGGCCCAGGCCTTCTCTCCAATTGCAAGGTGTAGAAATACGTTGCAACTTTTATACTTTTATTCATGTGACCATACAAGACCTCAATCAAGATGATCGTATTTAAAATAATAATATTCAGCTTTTATATACATGTAGCCCTTAATACACCTCGGACGTCTCTAAGCGCTTTACAGATATACTATTACCCCGGCCATTGGATTCAGTGCTTGCCCGCACACGATGTGTGCATAATCTACACTCCCTTGGAAGCAATGCAGCCAGGGGTTACTTGACACTCAAAAACTGTTTGACCAACAATGACGGTCTCATCCTATCTGCAATTCTAGTTATTACCCTTTTTTTGTTTGTTGTATATGTGTACAAGTGAGGATGTACAGGAAAAGATTATAAAGAAAGAGATAAACAAAGATGCTACAAAGCAATAATTCAAATATGATTTAAAACTTTGTAACACTTTTGACCGGGACTGACTTTCATGTGAGTACCAATTTAAACACACATACTGTGTTACCTTAATTTTGTAATTCTTTTTTTCCCTCTCCTATTCTTGCAGATTGTTGCTTTGAAGTTTATCCCCAAGCTGGGTCGCAGTGACAAAGAACTGGACAGTCTGCGCAAGGAGATTGAAATCATGAAAGAGATGCACCATCCAAACATCATTGAGATGTTGGATACGTTTGAGACTGACAAAGAGGTGAGAAAGCAGCAGAACAATTCATTCATCATTCGTTCGTATCTCCTTAGATAAAGATAGTTATGTAAAGTTCCTTAATTAAATTAAGTTCTTCCATCGCCCGATGGCTGCGATGGCCGTCTCATTAACAAGGGCCAGGTCTTCATCTGTGCAACCCGTCCTGCCACACTGTAAGATGTGGTCCATTGTCTGAGTCTCTTCACAGTCGCAGAGAGTATCTTCTTCATTGGCATACCCACATCTTGCCATGTTAGCCTTACACTCTCTTGGCATTGCATGTGATTCCTTAAATTCCTCCTCTAGCTGTGATGACATCATTGGTATTAAATGTTGTATGTTAAATTTTTCAATCACAAAACAATGTCAGTTTTTTTCTTACAACTTTCAAAGATAAAAAACAAGAACTAACAAATAGTTAAATTAAGTGCACTGCCATGTTAAGTGCATCATGCCAAAATTTGAAATGGGCCTTGGAAACATTCATGAAGTTTGTAAATGTTAAGAAATATTTCAACAAATAGCTCTTTATTTCTTTTATCTTTCAGGTGGTAGCAGTTACAGACTATGCAGAAGGAGAGTTATTCCAGATTCTAGAGGATGATGGTACTCTGCCTGAGGAACAGGTAATAACCCAGGCCTCAATTCACCATAGAGGCTATACATATTTTTACAGTGGTGCCCATCTATCCATCTGCATTGCCAATGTGTGTACATAGGAGCTAAAGCATGGGCTTTAAAATGTGGCCCATGTGACTTGTTTGAGCTTTTTTGTTTCATTAAAAAAATATAAAAATCAATCTTTTGATGTGACTGTTCAACTTTTTTCTGGTTTCACTAGAACTAGTCAGTGGTCTTAACCATCTTATTGAGATTAATTATAATAATAATAATAAAAACGTTACTTATAAAGCGCTTACCACCGAAGTCTCTAAGCGCCAAACAAAAGAGTTTCCGCCCGGGCTTGATTTTTTCCCCTGTGTCTTAAAAGGCCTTTAAAGAAGATGTAGTATGACAAGACTAAGCGTCTTTCCTGAGGCCCACTCGGGGAAAATCGGGTATAATACGACTACGGACAAAGTGACGGCAGTAGGCCTACGTAATTGATGTGCTTGCAACCTACGCCAAACCGAAGCGTGAGGAGAACTTCGGTCTGTTTCGCGAAAGCTAGCGCAGTTAATCTAGTCCATTTGTTTACGTGCAGTTGTCCAAAAGAAGATGTAGATGGTGTCAACCAGTATTTCTAATGCTACAGCCCCTTCAATATCTGAATTTATTGATACTCTTATTGCTGTTATCTATAGCTGCATTTTAATTTTTTTTAGACCCTGTCACTTTTAATTTTTTAAATTTCAAAATGAGCATACATACTACTTGTCCCCAATGCATCTTACAGGTGAAAGAGATTGCCTGTCAGCTTCTCTCAGCTCTCTACTACCTGCACGCCCATCGCATCCTGCACAGAGACATGAAACCCCAGAACATTCTCCTGGGCAAAGGGGGCGTGGTCAAACTCTGCGACTTTGGCTTTGCCAGGGCCATGAGTATCAATACCCTTGTCCTCACTTCAATCAAGGTTTGTAAAGCGTTGGAGTAATGTCATCCATTTATTGTATGATTGATTGATTGTGCAGTGATCAATCGCAGAATAGTAATTAATCACTAACTTCTCGCTTTGCTATGGGAATCTGAAGAGGAATCTTAAAGGGCTTGTATTGATAGCTTTTTTTTCATGTACATTTTTCTTAAAAAGGTTTGTATCTGAAAAGAGTAGAAAAGGACAGAAACTTAATTAGTTGACCCCTTTTGGTTCTTAATAATCATTAATGCAATTTTTTACCAAACGTGCTTGGACAGATGAAAACTCTACAAACGTCATAAATCCAGTTGTGTAATGTAGAACGAATTTGATTTGTTGAATGGAATATTAAATTTGAAATAATATTCTCATATGACAGGGCACCCCTCTGTACATGGCACCTGAACTGGTGGAGGAGAAACCTTACGATCACACGGCCGACCTTTGGTCCCTCGGATGCATCCTGTATGAGCTGTTTGTGGGAACGCCCCCATTCTACACCAATAGCATATTCCAGCTTGTTAGTCTCATTATTAAGGTGAGATTTAGATTTAGATTAGATTGAATTGAATTGAATTGAATTGAATTAAATTTGCTTCGAAACCATTTGTTTTGGACTTAAATGGACCAAAGATAAGGATTAGGGTTGTGAATGCGATTATGTGTTTAGTGACGTTTAGGGTTATAGGGTTAGTGATAGGTTCTGTGTTTGGTCTAGTGTTCCAGTTTTATTTCTTTCATTAGTGTAGATAATTTACAGTGAAGCTCTCTTTGCCAAAGCATAGTGATGTAATATGTTTTGGATTGGAGGCATGATGGCTTCAGTAGTGAAGCTGAGGTCATGTACCCTGGAAGTTCCTAGTTTGAAACCAAGCTGGTGCCTTTTTAAAAGGTGTTCATGTGTAATCCTCGTTGACCAAGTCCCTCGGATAGGACATCACGCGATAGGTCTCCTGGTTGCTCATCAATAAGCATGTTCTTTCTTTCTTTGCAGTCGGGTGAAATGAAATTCAAGTTTTATTAAAATAAAATAAAAATCCATTTGTTATGGTGGCTAATGCACCTGTACAAGAAATGTAATAATGGTATAAAGTGCTATATAAGAACTAGCTATTATTATTATTATTATAAATATCACTGTAAGCCGATTGATGACACGGTCTTGTTAATGTTTCTCATTATTTTCTGTTTACAGGATCCAGTCAAATGGCCCAAGAACATGGAACCAGAATTCAAGGCAAGATATCTTTGAAGAAACAAGACAAAATCGTACTTCATTATGATAGTATAAAACTGTTAGGCAAACGCACAATTTGGTTTCGATTTCCAATCATAAATATCTTGAAAATCAGACAGGCGATCGGCTTGAAAAAGTCATGGGTTCCTGACTGACCTAAAGGTTTATAATGATCATTGCAGCATGAGCTAAATCCAGGATTTTGTTTCAGAATCTGAGACAAAGTTACTGGATCCCTTTAAGAGCCACAATGGCATTACATATGTTTGACACAGAGTTCATGCTTGTATGGCTCCAATCAGAATGATACAATATTTGTTTGTTGTTGGAATATAGGATTTCCTACAGGGCTTGTTGACAAAGAGTGCCAAGCATCGCCTGACATGGCCGGCTCTTCTCTATCATCCCTTTGTGGATGGAGGGGTCAAAGGTGAGATTATATTAGCATAGAATCTTAATTAATCCTACTCTTTCCCACCTTACCCATTGATCTCTCTTTGCTCTCTCTCTCTCTCTGTCACGATATCTTTCTTTCTTCCCTTCCCTCTTCCTCTTCACTCTCTCCCCTCCATTGCCCTATTGTCTCCCACTCTCTTTTTCTTTTGTTTCCCCTCTCTCCCTGCTTCTCTCTCTCTCTCTCTCTCTCTCTTTCTCTCTCTCTCTTCTCTCCACTCCCTCCACTCTAATGCTATACTGTGGTTGTACTTACATGCTCCAGTAATCTCTTCATGGTTCAATTTCTGACCCTTACCACATTCCTAAGTTGAAAACTGGACCTGGCGCTATACATGTACCTAGTCTGTTTCCCATCCTAAATTTAATCTTGAACCACATCACAACCATAACCCTACATCTTCAACAAAATTAATCCAGGAGCAAAAATTCGCTGGAGCATTGGTTGAAGGGTGAAGTCCACACGCATATTTAGTTGTTTTAATAGAAACAAAAAATTGAGTGGAACCTGTCAGTGCAAGTTTCAGTAAAATCTGATTAGAAATAGGAAAGATACAAATATTTGAAGTTTCATCAGTGAAACACAAATTGGCAACTTTGTCACAAATGTTTCCAGGTCCTCTCCAATTTGAAAACTTTCTTTAGGGAAAATAGAATTTTTTTTTTTTTAGTTTAGAGCAAATCTTAATATCAGAGTTGACTTCCCCTTTAAATTACCTCTTGCCTTGTGCCTTCTGTTTTGTCGTTGGTAGTGTCGGACTCCCTGACTGAGCACCCATTCACCCAGGCGCCCTCTGCCGAGGAGGTGGCTCGCAAGGAGAAGGCCGTGCAGGAGAAGTCTTCTAATGTGGCCCCCGGCACCACCATCATGAGGAAACTCAAGCAGAGGGAGCAGGGCCCACCCACAGTAAGTAACCCAAAGACAGTAATACAGAGCTGCCAACCATTAAGTTTTTCCCGGAATTATTCTTTTTTCTCAAAATGAGGGTAGAATGTTTATTCTTCATAAAATACGTTTTTTTTTACTTTTTTTTTTTTTGAGTTTTTTTTTCGCACATGCCACATGTCAACCAATTGCCCTAAAAATGTTGATCATTACTTCAATAGAAAACTTCAATAGAGATTTATGAAGAGTACACAATTAAGAATAGTAAAAGAAAGGGAAAAAAAGAAGGTACATGTAAAGGTGTAAATATTCTCAAAAAGAATAAAACGCAGATAATAATCAAATGACAATAACAAAAAACTACCTACTTGTAAATAAACTATAGATACTAATATTGAAATATCAGCATGAGGTATGGACATTTCTGCATTGGAAGTGTGTCGCGCATGGTTGTAAATTTCGTTTGAATGAATTCCTTTTTTTTGCCCATCATGGTTCCTTTTTTTGGGGTTGCACAAGGTTGGCCGCTCTGGAAATAGGAAGAGCGTGTTGGGCTTTTGCCCACCACGTGCAATACTATCCATCTGAGAAGAAATTGCAGTGTTATGACTTAAAGGATTGCATTTTATGTTTTCCCTGTACTAAAGTAACTGGTACAGAAAGATCACATGCTTTTAAAGACCACATATTTTGTATCCCTTGAGCAGTCTCTAAATATGCAGGTTTCACTCTGTACATACAAAATCTCATATGATTATTTCGCTTGCATCGTAGGAGGAGCAGAAAGATGGGGCAGGGGGCGACGGCAAGAAACCCCACAAGCCCAGCAGTGAGAAGGCCAAGGCCAAGCCCCGCATTGCCAAGAGCGAGCCCTGGCCTAGCGTCAAAGAACAGGAACCGACTCCCAGGGAGAACCGCATCACACATGATTACAAACAGGTGAGTGACTTAAGTGATAGATGGCCTTCAATGGGGGATGAAAGATTGAATATTGCATGAACAAAATTTCTTCTTCCTTTTTTTTGGTGGGGGGGGGGGGGGAGGAGGGGGGTCAGTTAACTGACCAATATTAAAGTCAACTTGATTGTACAGGTATGTAACGCTAGGTCACATGTTAACAGCTTATCATTATAGCCACTAAAATGTGAAATAGCTGTCAGTTTAAAAAAAATTGGTGGTTGGGGGCATGGAACAAAATCAACTGAGGGTACTGTAAATCAATATCCATATAGGGGGGGGGGGGAGAAAATAATAAGTGTAAGAGGAATATAGAAATGAAAATAAGAAAAAAGGAAGAAAAGAATTCTTTTTAAATATATAGTTTTTAACACACTAAACATTAATAAATATGCTTTTCTTGAATCATCCATTCTTGTCTTTATCAGGAATCAAGCATTAAGAGAACATGTAGATTTATATCCATTATGACTTCTTTTATTTTTTTGTTTTATTTTACATATGTTAGGTAATATGTACCTTCATGAAAATATAGTACATAAACAAGAGGGGGGCTGTCACAGGGTAGTGGATGGGGATAAAATACCGGTTATAGAAATTGATTCATATTCACTTGGATTTGTTGTCTGTATGCTAAACTTTTATGAAATGATTTTCTTATCTTTCAGGAGTTCCCCAGTGTAGAGGTGGAGAGCAGACGAGTCCTGAAGAAAGAAGGAGGCAAGGCTAAAGACATGAGGAAAAGCATTGATAATGTCAGACTGCAAGAAGAAGTAAGTTTAAAGGGTAAATTAGCAAAGTTTGGATATGACTCAATAAAAGTGATAGTACCGGTAACAAAAAAAGGCTTCTTACATGTACATGTATATAGCCTTTTACCATTAACTGACCAAAGTGCCTTATCATTATTACTCCGGTAATGAGAATTTTCTTTTTTAATATGAGGATGAAAGATATATTTATAATTTATCTGGTATGTATAGAAAATTTGTTATTAAGTGGCAGTCACTTCAATTTTTTATTTGTATAAAAAAGTGAGAGAATCATCTTGTAACCAAGTGAGTCAAACATATGTCACTTTATGATTGTTTCTTTGTTATTTTGACTTCATCCAATAAAGTAGCCTGTAGAGAGCTATATATATATATATTTTTTAATATTACTCTGGTCACTGAATTCACTTACCGGTACTATTCTGCACATTTTAGTGCACATTTTCCACTGCCTAGGAAGCATTCCAGCTTATTGCCTTTTTACGGGTGTGCACATGCTATTCGAACCACAATGACATTCGCATCCTACAGGGTACCCAATTAACACCTGGGTGTAGAGGAGCAATGTAGATAAAATGCCTTACTGAAGGACATAAGTGCTGTTCCAGGGCTCAAACCCACAACCTTTGCATTTCAAGTCAAGTGATTAAACCAATCGACTAGGACACTCATAACGTTCAATTTCAAGTTTGAGTATGTTATCAACTTTTGATGTTTATTTATCATCTCTTTAACAGGATGTTGACAGCGAGGATGAATGGGACTCCCTGTGCGACATCACCAACCCTGACACCACCGACCCGAGGTCCATCGAAGCTCTCCTGCAGGACAAGGCCTTTGTGGAGCGCATCGCCTCAAGACTTGAAGAAACGTCCAAGCAAACACTGGAAGGGATGCTTGAGGGTGCGTCCAGACTCAGGCTGGTCCTGCATGTCATCAATAATCTGCTGGCTTACAAAGGGTAGGATAATTAGCTTTACCTGTGATTTGTTACCAAAAGTACAACCAGGGCCCTTCAGAATTTATTTGACATAATTTTGCTTGATATGATTTTTTTTTTTAATACAAATCTTAAGTAGCAAATTAAAATACATGGGTGCAGTAACTGATATTGCTTCGGTAATGTGTAAAAGAACTCCTAAAAATGGAAAAAGATCTCTGGTACAAAAAAATTAATTAAATACTCAAATGAATTTGTGAGTAAATCACACTTATACAACACTAGATCCTAAAGAGCTTCCGGGCACATAAAATTATTTTTATTTTATACACTTAACCTAAGAATGAGATTGAATGTGCTTGCAATCAACTTTGCTTCATAATAGCAACACAATGATGATTATGATGATTATAGTGGATAATAAATTATATAATTATAATGATTATATTATATTGATATATAATATTACTATAATATAGTCATAATGATAGATGATAGTAATGATTCAAATACTAATGATAATAATATTACTGATTATGATCACGATGATGTTCATATTGGCTTCTTGTATAGCACTCTAACACGCACTGGTGATGTTCAAATTGCGCCAATATTGCCTGCGAATAAGATAGGCTACCAGTTGCAATTCTCACATCATTCAAGGGTGTAACTATGTAATCAATCTCAAATTAACTATCAAATTCTTTTCTTGGTTACATAAATCTGCTTTATTGTGTACATTTTTTCCCTTCTGTTTCCTATATTCAGTTTTGCTGATCTCCTCACTGACTTTTGCCACATGACCAAAGTGCCCATGTTACCTCTGGATGTCCTCAGCAAAATGAAGGATAATAGCACAGTCAAAGAGGTAAGTGACATTCAGAATTCTTCCTATTCGCTCCTTTGCCAGAATTGCAGTGACATTTTGTTATGTAAAGGATATGAACTATCAATGTTGTTCCCATGCTTAGCATATTTAAAGCAGTGAGAATATGTTTGTCAACCACTGCCATCTGGATATTCATGTATGTATGGGATAGAGTCATCTCAGTTACATCCTTGGGGCAAATAACAACCATGGGAATTTTGGGGAAATGACAAAAAGGCATGTTTCACCCTCCATCGGAGCAGACAAGGGTACCATCAAGTGTATTAAATCTGACAATGCATAATTTCAGTGTTCAAAATTGTTTTGGTCTTAACACCACCCCTGAGATCCCACAAGTCCATATTTTACTCAGTTTGGACCAAGGGTGGACAATTAAGCCCCTGCTGAGAAGCTTGATAACAGGGATGGATTCAGCATTTTCATTAAGGAGCATCTTCACAAACAACCCTCCTTATTAATCTTGGTGATATTTTGTTTGTCTGCAGCAAGCATGGTTTGTACAGATCCTGACTGACTTGGTGAGTGTGATGGCAGCATACGTGATGTCAGATGTGGCTATAGAGCTAAACATTGACAGGTAACTTGAGTAATCATTTTGAACTTCTATTCCCATATGATAATTGATTATTTTTTTTGCTCCCCTGTCAAGATATGAACTATGAATGCTAACAGAAGATAAACCCTTGTTGGAAATATTAGCAATATTACCATGGTTTTGTGCTCTTACCTTCACTGATTATACAATTCCTCCAAACATGTCTGTTGATGGATTCCTGCCAAACTTTGGTCATGAATGTATCTTGCAGAGCCAATGAACTGATTAGATTTTGGGATCATGAGGTTAAAGGTCAAAGGTCACAGGGCTCATTATGTATGCATAAACAGCTTGTGATCGCGTTATCTCAAGAACCGATTGATGGATTGCTGCCAAACTTAGGTCATGTATGTTACTTGCAGAGCCGATGAACTGATTAGATTTAGTGGTCATGAGGTCAAAGGTCAAAGGCCACAGCACACATTATGTATGCAAAAACAGCTTGTGATCGCGTTATCTCAAGAACCGATTGATGGATTCCTACCAAAATTAGGTCATGTACATGTATGTTACTTGCAGAGCCAATGAACTGAGTAGATTCTTGGTTCATAAGGTCAAAGGTCAAAGATCATGGGCTCATTATGTATGCAAAAATAGCTTGTGAACGCATTCTCATTAGAACTGACAGATGGATTACTATTTAGCTCAGGACATCTTGCAGAGCCAATGAACTGAGTAGATTTTAAAGTCATGAGGTCAAAGATCAAAGGGTCATATATATATATGAGAAATTGCTTGTAATCACGATATTCTAAGAACCTGTCAATGGATTACAATTGAACTTGAATTCGAAAAATTGCTCTATGACGGAGGCATCATTTTCGACTGCGCGCAGTCGAATTCCATCTAGTTTTTTCAATGGTTTGTTTTCTTTTCTTCTATTTCTTCTTTTTCAGGACCAAAGATGTAATGGAGGCAGCTCTCAACTTTGCTGGTATCCTACCATGGTTAATACACATCAAGGAAGATGAGGATCTTAATCTAAGGGCACAGTCTGTCTGTGTAAGTCAATTCCTTTAGATTATTCTACAAATCTCTTTACAAGTAAATTACTTATGATTTTCCCACTTACTCATTCTCTCCTCCGTCTCCCTCTCTCTCTCTCTCTCTCTCTCTTACTCTCTCTCTCTCTAAAGTTTAAAAACTGAAAATGAGTGCATCTCAGTCCCAAAACAGAATGTCCTATTAAAGCCAGTTACAGATAAATATTTATCCATCACAGCCATATCTTTCATACTTTGTTTCTTCTTTTCCAGTGCATCATTTTACTTTAATGTTAGGTAGGAGGATTTGGAAGGAATTTGAATATATGAATAAATTAACCTATAGTATTGAATATTAAGTACTAGATATCTTTGGCCAGAGTCTAGGGCTGACGTATATTACATTTAAATCAAATCGTGTCCAACAGGTTCAACAAACTGGATAAATGAAACTCTGTGTGAAATGAGAGTGTCTAATTAAAAAAATGTCACTACAGACAGTATACATGTCATGAATTAAAAATCCTATCTGTCTCGCTTGTCCTCCCTCCTCCTGTCATCCCCTAGTGCTTTATTTACCAATGTGAGGTAATGGACAGGGCCCATGAGGAGTTTGTGACAGGGTACTACGCCGGCCTGGCAACCACTCATCTCCCGGTGGTCACCGCTCTACTCAAGACCTTGGAGCAAGACGAGGCTCTCGTCAAAAAAGTTACAAGTAAGTGAAACACTTTTTATAGGTGTTGGAAATGATGGGAAGTTGATTTCTTTGAAAGGTCGTAAGTGTTTTTTAGCAAAGCATGGATGTAATGGGTTTATTTAGATCGAGAAAGGGTGCATATTTGCTTAGTTGAAGGGAAAGGAAATGTTTAAAACATATTATTTTCTCTTATATAGAATTGCATTCTTGTCCATGTTACACTTTTAAAATAATTATTTATCATGTTGTTTAAAAAATGAATAAGTGTGTGAAACATGTTATAGGAGTATACCTATGATAGTCTAGTAATATTGAAATTGTTTCCAAAGAAATAAATATAAAGCTGAGTTCTGGTCATGCGATTGCATTGTAAAAGAAACTGTCCGACAGAACTTGATTATTATTTTTTCTGCTATGTCCACTTGCTGCATGTTGCACTTTGTGTTGAATTTTTAACATGCCATTCTTTATCATACACGCAACCTTTTCAGTCAGTCTGTTGACTAAGGAGAATTAACTAATTACAGTCTAGTAATATTGATGTTGTTTCCAAAGAACGATGCAGCTTATGAACGTTTACATTCCCACTTATGTTCCTGTTTCCTGTGTGATTGTAGGCGGACCGGAGGGGGAAGCGTTTGGGGATCGCTGGGAGCAGATGTGCGGTGTGGCTATAGGAGGCCTGGCAGAGCTGGTCTATCTTCAGCAGGGACTCGATACATGCGTAGAGGGCAAGCGCAAGGTAGGTCAAAGGTCATGTCCTTGCAAGACATGAATGTGTACATTCAAACATGCTTTAATGACCACCTGTCTACAATGACCACATTTTTTGTTTCCCCTGAAAATGGTTTCTCGTTGAAACATGCACTGACAGAACTTGTCTACAAGACCACTTTTAGTGTTTCCCTTGGGCGGTCGCTATAGACAGGTTTGACTGTATTTATAGACATTTTAGAATCAGATCCTAAAGAAAATATTGAATGTAGCTGCCAAACAAAAATACTGGTGTATGTTTCTATAATCATTATTTGATTGTCTTAAAGTTATGTTGCATTGAAAAGGGACTACCATTTTTAGCTTCTGCTATTTCTGAGCCCCATTTACTGCATGTACATTCAATAGTCTTGCAATAAATATATATATGTAGCTTTGTAAATTTGGTAATGAGTAAATACAGTATAAAACATTAGTAATTAACCGTAGATGTATACATTGTGGACCTAGTAATTAAGGCAGACATCTGAAATCTGTGTAACAACAGAAAGTCCCAATGTTCAAATAGTTTTAAACTACAGTATTCAGTCAGAAAGATATGGTTATGTTTAAGTTTGCTATGCATAGTTCGTTTTTAACACAAAAAAAATGTACATATAGGATTGTGGTAGCTATTCTGTTAGTTCAGTAATAATAAATAATCAAATAAATAATACATATTTGTCTAGTCAAATTTCACCTTTATCCAAAATATGAATGCAGGGTGGATATTGAAATTAGGAGATTATATTGGTCATTGCGTCCATGTCTTTCTATGAATGCAGAGAATATTGACTTGATTAACCTGTCTTCCTCTTCTTTATACGTGCCATGTCCTGAGACGATGGCGACCATGGAATGCCCCAACTCTCATATTCTATGAAGTAATTCATCCTCCCGAGATCAATTCCACTTTCAGAAATCCCACTCCTTAAGGTACTAATCCACAGAATCCTTCTTCTACCCCTACTCCTCCTCCCTTCAATTCTTCCAGTCAGTGCAAGATTTTCCAAACCATTCTTTCAAATAACATGACCCAAGAAGCTCATGCAGCTGTCGACCTCTTATATTATTCAGCGGCTTTTGCCTTGTTCCTGCATACCTCATTATAAGAAACTCTTTCTTAACCTGTACCTCCTAAAATGATCTATTCCAAGCTGTATTTCTCTGTTTCTCCTCATACATGTAGATGGCTGCATCGTTAGGAGATCTGTTTGCCGAACCCAGCCACCATGTACTGACAGATAACCTGATGAAGTACATCGCCCATCCGTCCTTCTGTGAGAATGCACTCAAGGTATGTAAACCCATGTGAGGATAATATAATAGTGACTCAGAGCTACCAACCATTAAGTTTTTTCCAGAATTATTCTGTTTTTTCCTCCAAATTACGGTAGTACGTTTTTATGCCTCCGTTACGAAGTATCCGGAGGCATTATGTTTTCGGGTTGTCCGTCCGTCCGTACGTCCCTTTTCTTGTGATCGCGTTATCTCAAGAGCCGATGGGCGGATTCCTGCAAAATTTTAACCATGTATGTATCTGGCAGAGCTAATGAACTGATTAGATTTTGGGGTCACGGTGTCAAAGGTCACAGGGCTCATAACGTATGCAAAAATAGCTCGTGATCACATTATCTCAAGAACCGATGGATGGATTCCTGCCAAACTGAGGTCATGTACATATATAGCAGAGCTAATGAACTGATTAGATTTTGGGGTTACGAGGTCAAAGGTCACATGGCTCATTATGTATGCAAAAATAGCTTGTGATTGCGTTATCTCAACCGATGGATGGATTCCTGCCAAAATTTAGTCATGTAAGTATCTTGCAGAGCCAATGATCTGATTAGATTTTGGGGTCAAAGGTCAAAGGTCTGAGGGCTCATTATGTATGCAAAAATAGCTTATGATCACATTATCATTTGAACCGATGGACAGATTACCATCAAACTCAAATCATGTATTTATCTTGCAGAGCCAATGAACTGATTAAATTTTAGGGTCATAAGATCGAAGACCAAAGGGTCATACATGTATATAAAAAATAGCTGTTAATAACGATATTCTGCAAACCTGTTAATGGATTACAATCAAACTTGAATTTGAAAAATTGCTCTATGGCGGAGGCATCATTTTCGACTGCGCGCAGTCGAACATCCATCTAGTTTCTTCATAAAATACGTTTTTTGTATCATGCAGACAATATACTTTGGATGTCAGATGTCACCTCAGCTTAGTAAATACATTGCTTGTAAAGAGGAACATGTTAGTCTCATCCTGCTAGTCTTACAGGGAAAGGTAAGGAAATATTGTTTTCCTCTTTTTTATAAATCCATATTTTAATTTTCCTTCTCTTTTCATCTCAAACCTTATTATGTGTGTTATGATGCATTTCATATAATGCACTTCAGCATGAGTAAAAATTTATATCCCGCTCATTTATTTATGTATTTATTGTTATATATTCATTTGTTTATTTATTTGTTTATGTGTTTGTTTATTTGTTTGTTTGATGCAGACTGAGATTGAAGACATGAGTCAGAACACAGTGTATGAGATGTGCACACATATCCTGAGTACTCTCACCGTACAACTCCAAGCAATACCTGAAATGTAAGCACAAAAAAATTATAATAAAACGAAATGATTGGATTTATGAATCTTCTTTTCCTGAGATAAGCAATGTTGAGTATGATAATAATAATAATAGTGTAAACTTATAGCGCGCACACAACGTCCAGGGATGGTCATGGTGCTAGCCCAGCAACAGTTCTCTTTAAAGGCCCACTGCACTAGTTTTGCCAGGAGGGATTAGACCTCCCTGCATGATCACTGACAGGTGGTTATCTCATCAAATAAGCTCTCTATTAACATAAGAATAAGGGGATCATGGGGGACCGATAGTCACCGATTGGGCATTGTTTGCTATATAGAGGGGGCAAATAGCTGTAAGTACTGCAGCGGGGCTTTAATACATCATTATGTAATAATAATAATAATCTTTTTAAAGTCCACTCCAAATTTTATTAAGTGAAACCGAAAATGGAAATTCTTTTTGACCAATTGATTGTGAACCCAGCAGCCACTGAGCAGCGCCAGATCGACGTTGCTCTATCCCTTATTGTTGAACGCCAAACAAGGTAGCAGCAACTCTTTTAACATCTTTTGGTAATATTGGTATATTATAGCTGGTGAGTGTGATAATGCATTTAAGCTTTCAAATAATAACATGTGCCAGCTCATTGACTATACTTGGGTATAGAGTGCAAATGTAGATTTAAGAATGTCTTGCAAAGTCTTATCAATCATGCATATTTGATCAGTTTAGTGCACATTTCCCCCTTAAAAATATTAATTTTAACCTGTAAAGTCTATGAAAATGCTGCTTTGCTTTTTGGTTTTCAGATTGTTGAATTCCAGTCCCCTGTTTGCAGCCATCTTGCTTGATTCTCAGATTGCAAGCCATACAGTAAGTACCATCATCTCCATCGTCATTATCATCTCATTACTGTTGTCATGAAGATTGGATCAAAAAAAAAAATAATTGGTGTGTTTTTATGCCTCCGCCACCGAAGGTGGTGCCGGAGGCATCATGTTTTCGGGTTGTCCGTCCGTACGTCCGTACGTCCGTACGTCCGTCCCGTTTGACCGTTATCACAATATCTCAAGAACCATTTAAGATTTAAACTTAAGACTCGGGAATAGTATTTATCACCATAGGAAGACGATCTGATTAGATTTTGGAGTACGTAGGTCAAAGGTCACAGGTCACAGAGGTCAACTTATGAAATTCCTTGTATTGAGTTTGTTAGCGCGATATCTCAAGAACCATTTGAGATTTAAACTTCAAACTTAAGGATAGTATGTATCACCATAGGAAGACGATCTGATTAGATTTTGGAGCACGTATGTCAAAGGTCAAGGGTGACAGAGGTCAACTTATGAAATTCCATACATTGAGATTGTTATCATGATATCTCAAGAACCACTGGAGATTTAAACTCCAAACTTGTTTAAATTGCTCTATGGCGGAGGCATCATTTTCGACTGCGCGCAGTCAAAATTCCATCTAGTTTCCTTTAGTGGGGCTTTCTGGCAAATTCAAAAAATTTGGAAAATCTTTACTTTTGGCCAAAATGGCAATGGATTGGTTTATTGTTTTTGCGAATAAGTTAAACAAAAATTCATTTTGTTTAATTTGCTCGCAATGAATGTCACTGAATGTCATGAGGTATGATATGACCATGTTTTCGCCCCTCAGGGTCATTGTGAAGAGATAAACAATGAAAAATTTCATATAATTTGCAAAATGATGAGCTAACCCCTTTCCATTTCGGCCAAAAAGTGATGATTTTGCACATTCTCAACATTTTTCACATACCCCCCTCTAGAACACAAAAGGGTGTTTGATCAACCTTATATGCGGGGTTGTTCATTGAGACCAAATAAACAATAATAAAAAATATTAATATAAAAACGGTGAGCTAACTCCTTCGGCATTTTGGCCAAAAGGTGATGATTTTCCATGTTTTCCAAAATTTGCAAAAAGTGCCCCTCTAGAAGACAAACAAGGGTTTGATCTACCTAATGATGAGCAGGGCCGAGGTGGTTCAGCATTTTGGAGGAGAAAATTAAAAATGTTAATAGGCTAGTTTCCCAACAATGAATGTACTTACATGCCATTCGATGGATCCTGACCCCTCATATCCCTTTGAAAGGGGGATAGGAGCAAATATTGTAAACATTTGAATTATCACAACTTTCGGGTCGAAATGGTAAGGGTCGGGGTGGTTCAGCATTTAGGAGGAAAATATTATATTTTTTGAATAGGCTAGTTTCCCCACAGTGAATGTACATATATGTGATTAGATGGATCCTGACCCCCATATCCCTTTGAAAGGGGGATAGGAGCAAATATTGTAAACATTTGAATTATCACAACTTTCGGGCTGAAATTGTAAGGGCCGGGGTTGTTCAGCATTTTGGAGGAAAATATTATATTTTTTGAATAGGCTAGTTTCCCCACAGTGAATGTACATATATGTGATAAGATGGATCCTGACCCCCATATTCCTTTGAAAGGGGGATAGGAACAAATATTGTAATCATTTGAATTATCGAAACTTTCGGGCTGAAATTGTAAGGGCCGGGGTTGTTCAGCATTTTGGAGGAAAATATTATTTTTTTTGATTAGGCTAGTTTCCCCACAGTGAATGTACATACATGCGATTAGATGGATCCTGACCCCCATATCCCTTTGAAAGGGGCGTAGTGGCAAATATTGTAAAAATTTGAATTATCACAACTTTCGGGCCGAAATGGTAAGGGCCGGGGTGGTTCAGCATTTTGGAGGAAAATATTATATTTTTTGAATAGGCTAGTTTCCCCACAGTGAATGTACATACATGCGATTAGATGGATCCTGAACCCTATATCCCTTTGAAAGGGGCGTAGGGGCAAATATTGTAAAAATTTGAATTATTACAACTTTCGGCCGAAATGGTAAGGGCCGGGGTGGTTCAGCATTTTGGAGGAAAATATTATTTTTTTTGAATAGGCTAGTTTCCCCACAGTGAATGTACATATATGCGATTAGATGGATCCTGACCCCCATATCCCTTTGAAAGGGGCGTAGTGGCAAATATTGTAAAAATTTGAATTATCACAACTTTCGGGCCGAAATTGTAAGGGCCGGGGTGGTTCAGCATTTTGGAGGAAAATATTATATTTTTTGAATAGGCTAGTTTCCCCACAGTGAATGTACATACATGCGATTAGATGGATCCTGAACCCTATATCCCTTTGAAAGGGGCGTAGGGGCAAATATTGTAAAAATTTGAATTATTACAACTTTCGGGCCGAAATTGTAAAGGCCGGGGTGGTTCAAGCATTTTGGAGGAAAATATTATTTTTTGTGATTAGGCTAGTTTCCCCACAGTGAATGTACATGCATGCGATTAGATGGATCCTGACCCCCATATCCCTTTGAAAGGGGCGTAGTGGCAAATATTGTAAAAATTTGAATTATCACAACTTTCGGGCTGAAATTGTAAGGGCCGGGGTGGTTCAGCATTTTGGAGGAAAATATTATTTTTTTTTAATTGGCTAGTTTCCCCATAATGAATGTACATACATGCAATTAGATGGATCCTGAACCCTATATCCCTTTGAAAGGGGCGTAGTGGCAAATATTGAAAAATTTGAATTATCACAACTTTCGGGCCGAAATGGTAAGGGCCGGGGTGGTTCAGCATTTTGGAGGAAAAAATTATATTTTTTAAATAGGCTAGTTTCCCCACAATGAATGTATATACATGCCATTAGATGGATCCTGACCCCCATATCCCTTTGACAGGGGGGTAGGGGCAAATATTGAAAAATTTGAGTTATCACAATTTTCGGGCCGAAATGGTAAGGGCCGGGGTGGTTCAGCATTTTGGAGGAAAATATTTTTTTTTTTTGAATAGGCTAGTTTCCCCACAGTGAATGTACATATATGCGATTAGATGGATCCTGACCCCCATATCCCTTTGAAAGGGGCGTAGTGGCTAATATTGTAAAAATTTGAATTATCACAACTTTCAGGCCGAAATGGTAAGGGCCGGGGTGGTTCAGCATTTTGGAGGAAAATATTACTTTTTTTTATTAGGCTAGTTTCCCCACAGTGAATGTACATACATGCGATTAGATGGATCCTGACCCCCATATCCCTTTGAAAGGGGCGTAGTGGCAAATATTGTAAAAATTTGAATTATCACAACTTTCGGGCCGCTATTGTAAGGGCCGGGGTGGTTCAGCATTTTGGAGGAAAATATTATATTTTTTGAATAGGCTAGTTTCCCCACAGTGACTGTACATACATGCGATTAGATGGATCCTGAGCCCTATATCCCTTTGAAAGGGGCGTAGGGGCAAATATTGTAAAAATTTGAATTATTACAACTTTCGGGCCGAAATTGTAAAGGCCGGGGTGGTTCAGCATTTTGGAGGAAAAAATTATATTTTTTAAATAGGCTAGTTTCCCAACAATGAATGTATATACATGCCATTAGATGGATCCTGACCCCCATATCCCTTTGAAAGGGGCGTAGTGGCAAATATTGTAAAAATTTGAATTATCACAACTTTCGGGCCGAAATGGTAAGGGCCGGGGTGGTTCAGCATTTTGGAGGAAAAAATTATATTTTTAAATAGGCTAGTTTCCCCACAATGAATGTATATACATGCCATTAGATGGATCCTGACCCCCATATCCCTTTGACAGGGGGGTAGGGGCAAATATTGAAAAATTTGAGTTATCACAATTTTCGGGCCGAAATGGTAAGGGCCGGGGTGGTTCAGCATTTTGGAGGAAAATATTATTTTTTTTAATAGGCTAGTTTCCCCACAGTGAATGTACATACATGCGATTAGATGGATCCTGACCCCCATATCCCTTTGAAAGGGGCGTAGTGGCAAATATTGTAAAAATTTGAATTATCACAACTTTCGGGCCGAAATTGTAAGGGCCGGGGTGGTTCAGCATTTTGGAGGAAAATATTATTTTTTTTAATTGGCTAGTTTCCCCATAATGAATGTACATACATGCAATTAGATGGATCCTGAACCCTATATCCCTTTGAAAGGGGCGTAGTGGCAAATATTGAAAAATTTGAATTATCACAACTTTCGGGCCGAAATGGTAAGGGCCGGGGTGGTTCAGCATTTTGGAGGAAAAAATTATATTTTTTAAATAGGCTAGTTTCCCCACAATGAATGTATATACATGCCATTAGATGGATCCTGACCCCCATATCCCTTTGACAGGGGGGTAGGGGCAAATATTGAAAAATTTGAGTTATCACAATTTTCGGGCCGAAATGGTAAGGGCCGGGGTGGTTCAGCATTTTGGAGGAAAATATTATTTTTTTTGAATAGGCTAGTTTCCCCACAGTGAATGTACATATATGCGATTAGATGGATCCTGACCCCCATATCCCTTTGAAAGGGGCGTAGTGGCTAATATTGTAAAAATTTGAATTATCACAACTTTCAGGCCGAAATGGTAAGGGCCGGGGTGGTTCAGCATTTTGGAGGAAAATATTACTTTTTTTGATTAGGCTAGTTTCCCCACAGTGAATGTACATACATGCGATTAGATGGATCCTGACCCCCATATCCCTTTGAAAGGGGCGTAGTGGCAAATATTGTAAAAATTTGAATTATCACAACTTTCGGGCCGCAATTGTAAGGGCCGGGGTGGTTCAGCATTTTGGAGGAAAATATTATATTTTTTGAATAGGCTAGTTTCCCCACAGTGACTGTACATACATGCGATTAGATGGATCCTGAGCCCTATATCCCTTTGAAAGGGGCGTAGGGGCAAATATTGTAAAAATTTGAATTATTACAACTTTCGGGCCGAAATTGTAAAGGCCGGGGTGGTTCAGCATTTTGGAGGAAAAAATTATATTTTTTAAATAGGCTAGTTTCCCAACAATGAATGTATATACATGCCATTAGATGGATCCTGACCCCCATATCCCTTTGAAAGGGGCGTAG